ATGAAGTTCATTTGGTGCGAAAATGCACGAGCGTTACGTATCAATTGCTTAACGTTTTCTGTGCCACGGGCCGATTTTAGGCCGATTTGTAAATACTACGTTGACTGCCACGGGCCGATTTTCGGCCGATGTTTTTTTTCCTTACGTCGGACAATAGGCTTCAGTGACGTTGCCTCTTTTGTGTACTATGGGAGTGGCTACACAGACGAAGAACTGTGCCGTAACAAAACGTGTTATGCATGCAAAGTGCTTTCAAATTTTCATTTTAGTTGCGTCGGCCATACTTTTATAGAGTATATATATAAATTATTTCAATTTGTTTTCATTTTGTGGACTTTCTGCTGATTTTTCTGTTTTGTTTTATATAAAAAAAATCATATTAAAGAAATGGAGAAGTTTCACTCATTAATGATAGCAGTAGAAATGTTTAATTACTGAAACCAATTTTGTTGCACTGTATGTGCACGTTTCATCAAATAATGAATCTTCAGTAGTGGTCCAGATCCGAATTATGGAATTATCAAACAAACAAGAAGCCTAGAACGTGCGAAGAGCGATTTCAAATACCAGAATGACCGAAAAATCAATTAAAAATACCATCTAGGGAAAAGTAAAGTTGGGTAATTAAAGTGCTTGTCGTGATCCTACAGAGCCATCTTTATGTGAAGGGATGGGGATTTGGTGCATTATCAATCATTTATTCATGTAGGTGTGGTGGGTTGTCTTATGTTATCACTTCTCCATTTTAGAACAATACCTGGTATTACAATAAAAACGTTTTTTTATCAGAAACAAATAATATCTTTTAAATAAAAGATTCAACACACTAATGATTATCTTTACAATCCCGGTGCACCCCCTTACTGCATACTCGACACACTGTCCTACTCCTCCTTCGACCCCCGTAACCATTCCTGTCTGAAAATACATCATAGTCTTTCTCTCGATGACCGGGCAACTCCTTATTCCATTTTTATTCATATATTGCCTAAATTGTCTTGATTTTCGTTTCTTTGCATCATGTGGTCTTTGGCGAGATCCTCAATAAGCTGTTGCGTGAAAGCTAGTCTAGACAGTTTAAGGTTATCCGATGTATTTTATTGGTATAATGTGTATGCATTGATAGCCATACGGTGCATAAGATTAAAAAACTACATTTTTCCATACTTTTAAAGTTTTTCGTCCATCACTATAACTCTCTGTCATCATATCCATAGGTAATTTTTTTTTGGCCCTCTCCCTTTTTTCCAAAATCCAGTATTTTATCGTTTTCTATTAATTTCAATTATTTTCGCAATAGGATAGAGGGCATGTTACTGCTGATAAATAGCATTTTTTCTCGACATACCGAATAACAGCCGTGTTCCATAATTCCTCTACGAAATTAGTTTTAAAATATTCATGTATCATTCATTCCAAGCCATTAAGGAATTGGAATGTATCGTTTTTATCACAGCTCCTCGTAGATTTTTTTATTTTGAAAGAAAATTAAAACGCATATTTTTAACAACAAGCGTAGCATGAACATCATCTTGGTGAAAAGAAAAATTACGAAAAAAAAACAATGTAAACAATGACTAAAATCCGGTGATTAATCATTGCCAAAAATCTTAAACGGGTCTCAGAGGCAGGGATTGTAAACCCTATTAACAGATCGGATTTCAACACTAGAAATCATTGCTTTGGTACTTAGAACTCTGTATCAATACCATCACGATAGTTAAAAGGCTCTGAGATATAGTATAAAATGGGAGTGGTATATTTCATATACAGGTGTTGCAATATATAAAGAAAATGTTGAATAGTGTTCTAAAATCCAACTCTCATTAACTATTTCAAGCCGTGATAACACTGATAAAGGATTTTAAAATGAATTCTGCACAGTAAAGATGTTGTAAATCGTAAATGGAAGACATCTTCTTTTCGTAAAAAGCTCTTAAAGATCCTCAATATAGGGGCAGAGGTCAAAGTTTTGGAGAAATCAAAGCTAACTGATCTTTAATTCCAGGTAAAACGGGATCAGTATGATTTAGATAGTCACCAAATTTGTTAATAATTTAGTAAAAGTCGCAGAATGTGTCTCAAGGCACAATTATCTGGTAAAAAGGGAAAGCTATTGGTCAAATTGAGAGTACTTTCCTTTGACTATATCCCAAAACGTTGCTTGTCATTTTGCACTGGTAATGTTAGATGTTTAATAGATTGTTGATCGACAAGTAGTTTAATATAAATTAACAGAAATATGAAAATAAGGAGATGAGGTATGATTGCCAATGAGACAACTATCCACCAAAGTTCAAATAAAGTGGATGTAAGCAATTATAGATAACCGTACGGCCGTCATCTCTTATAACAGTTACATTGTAATTATGTTTGATCGTAACATGTGTCGATAGTAAGTTATATGTTTATGTCATTTGGCATTGCATATATTACTATTATATGTATTTATTCCTGGTATTTAATACACGTGCCTATATCACCTTATCCACGTGTACTTGTTTATTTATTTTAATAAACATTGATCATTGGTCCGAATGGGCCCTTAACTTATGTTATATTTTGAGTTTAAAGTTGCAACTTATGTTGCACGAATTTCAAAAGCGGGAATTGTTTTCTCTGTTTATTAAACTACAGTTTATAATCATTTGAAGCTCAGTTTTCAGTGTAGCTAACACACCCTCCCACCCACAACTATTTATATGGAGAATGCATATCTTTTTTCGTTTATTTGTATACTGACTGTTTTGTTTTATTGTCTTTGTAGATATTTCAACATGGCAGCAGTCAGTGCAGATATCATATGTTACAGACTTTTTTTTTTACATATTTACTTGTTTGATAATAAACTTATCTACAAAACTGGCGAGCTGATCCGATAATAATATGATGTTTTTATTTTATGTACTAGCTTTAGTGTTGTGGTTTTACGATTAAATACTTTATGTTCGGTTGAGGAATGAATGAGAACATAATTGCTTGAAATGGTGGTGAACAGAAATCGCAGTTTACTTGCACATCATAATGTAGCTATGAGCAATATGGGTAAGACATTATTTTTCTCCAGTTGAAATGCAAAGAATATTGTGCAATGTGATAAACTCTTGTAAAATCAAAAAGTCACCATTATCGTCTGCCAGACGCACGCCTCATAGACTCATTAGAAGCTAGGTGTAGTTTAAACTTTGGTACGTCAAGGTGTGGACACAAGATTTAATAATATGGAACTGGGCTCAGCATTCATAACTTCACAATTAAAGACAGCAGACAATGCAAACAGACCTCGCAGTGAACATGCATTATAGATCCCTTTACGTGGTAAGTCATTGATAGCGACATCAAATTAAACATATTTCTACTGAATAATAAATTATTTAATCTTTAACTTGCCATATAAATCCATTGAGATTCGAGTTTCCCGGAATTGATTTCAATAATGACTGTCAACATGATTAAAATCAAGGTGATAAAACCAAAATAATAGAATACTCAACTATTTCTATATTATTATCTGGATTCACTACGAGAAAACAGATAAAACAATTGTTGTTTTAATTAATGTAGAGTTTTAGATACTGATACCTTTGTACACTATATGTTCCATCTGTAGATGTCAACCAAAAGAACAGAAGAAGACGTGGTGTACTCGATAACCTCCGACTTGTTACTTTCTGCTGATAGTATCATAAAAGTATCCGCCTACATGTAATACCTACTAATTGAAATTGGTACAGCTACCTCATGTTACAAGCGCGAATAAAGACTCAAGATCGTCAAGCATTTAACTGTAAGTTTTTGCTTATTTCAATGACAGGAAACAGAAAATTTAAATATTTCAACTGTAATATTATATAGATGTTTACTGATATACAATAGAATATATCGGGTTTGATCGGAATATGTAGAGAGGTTTAAGCAATTCCATTTTGTTAAAGTTGTGTGGTTTGTTTTTATGTGAATTGCGACATAGGTTTCTGAAATGTGTCAACCTGATACATAAGCAACAAGAAACCTCTTATTTGATTAAATACCTTGTTTCTAGTTGCATCTGTTTATAATAAGTAATGTTAGTACCGTACTATCGATAACTAGTTACCGACAGTGTTTAATAATGGATGGATTACGTAAATACAGCATTCTGCTAGTGTCACATAGGTTTTTTCCGTTTTAAGTAAAAAACTCAGTATTTCTGTTTTCTATAAAAACGTAAAGAAATGACGAGTATTCTGGTTTTGATCGTGTCAAAGGACAAAACGTAATCGTTGTACTTTCTGACAAAGCAATGAATTAGTTTGTTTTTATAATTCTTATTTCCTATTCAAGAATGAAAATAGATTATTTCCCTTAAAAATACCCTAAATACTGTTGATGTTACAAGACATACAATCCGCATAGAATTGAAATTCAGATAAGCTCGGTAACATAATTTTTTGAAATCACAGATAGAAAAACAATGCCTTGCAATCATTATGCACAAACATAGTACAATGCGCCGTTAAAGTTTCGTATTTAATGAATTTACTTTTAAAATTTGCAGAGTAGTAACTTTTGTTTGTTGAAAAATTAAAGATATTTAAACCGAATCAGATGGTTTCAAAATGGGATTTCGATTGTTATATTACTAAAAGCGACTTATCACCGGAATTATTTTTTGTTGTTGTTTTTTTTGTTTTTTTGCTTGGTGTCGTCTGTTTATATTGCCCTCTTGCTAGATACCTATATAAATTAGTACTTTAAAACAAACATTCTGTTGAAAATTAGTAGAATAAATATCAAGTAATGGATTTATCTGTTTTTGTTAGTAAAACGTGTATGACAATTTACGAAGTAAAGTACTTTTGCATCGATTATGATGCTGTTAGATAGTTTGAAAATTGACCAATGATATTTCATACTATGAAACAATAATTCTTTGTAATTATTTCGTTTCAGCTGTTGAAGTGTGTGGGGAACTACATTTTATTTAATATATAATCTTAATTAATTCTGAAGATAGCAATACGCTCTTATACTTTACCGATGGAAAATATTACAAATATCACCACTAACAACGTCATAAAACGATATGTCAATGATTCCAGTTCAGAGCAAGTAATGGAGAACACCGTTTTAATGGCAACATATATAGTACTTTACTGTGTTATATTTATATTAGGTGTGAGTGGAAACTGCCTGGTTGTATTTGTTGTTGTGCGTAAAAAGGAAATGAGGACCGTTATCAACATCTTTATTACAAATCTGGCTGTTTCAGATATTCTTTTGTGTTTACTAGCTGTACCGTTTACTCCAATATCATATTACTTGCAATCCTGGGTATTTGGAGAGTTCTTTTGTCATTTAGTATCAATGACCTTGGCAATTTGTGTGTACGTATCAACTCTAACATCTACCACTATTGCAGTTATTCGGTATAGGGCAATTGTATATCCTTTAACACCGCCGATACAGATTTCCAATTGTTATCGGATTATTGTAATCATTTGGCTTATATCTATTTCGATATCAGTTCCTCTTGGAGTTTACACGAGAATTACTCAAAGTAGAGACGGATCTATCGATTGTGTGGAAAGATGGCCAACCGATCAATCGTCACAAATATTCAGCATAACTAGTCTTCTGCTTCAATATATTGTGCCTTGCTTTATAATTATGTATTGTTATACAAGCGTTTTTTTAGTTTTGAAAAGGCGTATACAGTCTGGTTCTTTAAATCAATCAAAGACTAAAAAGCAAGAAGAGATAGATATGAAAAGAAAACAGCATACGAACAAGATGTTGGTCACTATGGTTACTATTTTTGTTTGTTGTTGGCTGCCTCTAAATATAACAATATCCTTAGCTGAATATATATCGACTTTCTCAAACTGGCACTACTTCACATTATGTTTCTTTAGTGCTCACATAGTAGCTATGAGTTCTGTGATTTACAATCCATTTCTTTACGGCTGTATGAGTGACAATTTCAAAAATGAATTTAAGTCACTATTTTAAAGACACAGGGATGGTAAATGAGTGAATCTTTAAAATCATTAATATGTCATGTAACAATATCTGAACATGATTGTTAAAGACACTAATCATCAGAGTACATGCATAAGATAAACGTTACCAGACTAAATGCATGATAAGTTGTTCGCTGTCAGTTAGGTTATTGTCGATAGCATTTACTTCAAAATAAGATAGAAAAATACTAGAAACAAAAATATCGTTGATCCCTGTTACATTCATCTGGTATGTCTAGTGTCATAGATTGAAGGCCTAGTATATTTGTGGATTTTGCAGATCCCCCTTTTTAGGCATTTTGATTAAAAATTAAAAATCAGACATCTGTGGTAATTTTATGACAGAAGGCAAGTTTTGTAAACATCCTCTTTCTCTGTCGCCATAACGGTCATAGTTCAAATCAATTATCGTGTTCCCTCGAGCTTTTTTGTATGTGATGTGTAACATATCGTGTAGATTCACTTGGCGATTATTAAAAAATCCATAAATCATAAATGGTTTAAAAGCTTTAGCTTGAAATTTTCGTATGTTATTCCCTGTTGTGAAAAATTACCAACAGCACAGAAGTTTGATAGTGTTGTCGTTCACCATAGTGGGTATCGAAAGGCTCTTACTGAGTGTTGTGCAATAATGATTGTAATATCTTTTCAGTATTTAGGGTTTGAACTATGCTTTCAATCTGTGACGTAAAAACTGAAAATCCATGTACGTACTGTTTATTGGATAATCCCGAGTTTATTATATTAGATATGCTAATCCAAAAGAACTTCTGATCAATAAAGCTAATAATAACAGTCAATATTGTTCATTTTTAGATAGGTAAAATAAAGACAAAAGAGACGTAGCTATAGAAAATGATCAAAACCAACAAAAAAAATTAAGTATTCAGTCATGTATAAGACAAATTGAAGGATAAAATCTGGCTCTCAAGTATCAGGAACAGCACATTGAAAACTTACAATAAAAAAAATCGTATATGCCGAATTCGAATTACTTGTCAACATTAATTATCTATGATACCTTCTCTCCTATAACAACATTTTAGCAGTTAAACAACGGGTGTCACTACTTCCCTTCCAGACCACAGGAGTTTACTCCCATTTTTTTTTACTGAAGAGTTACAGCAAGCAAGTTGAATAGTTCTTCAAAAAGAGTTTTTCCCTGATTATCAGGATTGTTGACTGATCAACAGTAGATGAAATCAAATTTATTACTGAATCGAAAGAATCTATTTAAATTGCTGAACTTTAGATAGTTTTACAACACATGATATAAACATCATCCAGTTAAACATTGTTCAGCTCGCAAAGTGTCAACAAAATTTTGATACATGAATATCGCTGAAATGAAAAAGAACCTGAGATAGACAATGGACATGTGACAGTCGGAAACTTTATAACATAAGATATCTGCATACAAGGTATAAAGCATCAACGTCTTATGCCCTTTACATTACTTAACACCGTCGCCGCTACACATTGTAATCCCTACTAAAAAATAATGAAACAAAGAAAGATATTTTGGGCAATTTTCCTTTCATAAAACTTTTCAGTAAAAGTAAGATCACAATATATACACCGACTTGCTTTCCCAATTAAAAATGCAGTTGCAATGAAATACAAAACGCCGAAAGGATCACAATCCCAAAGGGTTGACTAGAGGTATAAAAATATTGTCATCCCTGGAATACTACCGTTTGGCTTCTAGTAAAACCCTTGGTTAAGGGAGGCGTACGTTTGGCTGTGCGGAATGCATAAATACTCAGCCATGTCCGATCCAACACTAAAATAGATGCTTAATGTAGGGAGAATACCACGATCTCTAAAAGTTAAAGAAATCAACCTTGTAACAACTCTATTAGGGGGTATTAGTTCTGCCCCTATCCAATATAGTCTCATTTTCTAGTGTCAAGACAGATTTCAAGACCCCGGTCGTCTTACCTTACAGAACTTCTTGTATATATTATAAAAAAGAAGATGTGGTATGATTGCCAATGAGACAACTCTTCAAAAGAGACCAAATGACACAGAAATTAACAACTATAGGTCACCGTACGGCCTTCAATAATGAGCAAAGCCCATACCGCATAGCCTTCTATAAACAGCCCCGAGATGACAAATGTAAAAAACAATTCAAACGAGAAAACTAACGGCCTAATTAATGTACAAAAAAATGAACGAAAAACAAATATGTAACACAGCAACAAAGGACAACCACTGAATTACAGGCTCCTGACTTGGGACAGGTACATACATACAGAATGTGGCGGGGTTAAACTTGTTAGCGGGATCCCTCCCCCCTAACCTGGGACAGTGGTGTAACAGTACCACATAAGGACGAACTATAAAAATCAGTTGAAAAAGGCTTAACTCATCAGATAGATACAAATAGAAATACATCTAACAAAAACAAAGAGTGGACGTTGCCGGGTACTTGTACATCCCAACAACAAAACGACACTAAGTGCAGATCTGAGGGTACTTGTTTATTTGGTTCTTGACAAAAAATATAATTGAAATTCTTGCCACTGGAATTAAACATGGTACATACAATCAATCAACCAAAAAGATCACGGATAAAGAAGCGAGTAGATAGAAAAATAGATTATTTTTCGATCATTTACAAGTCACATCTCTATCCTTGCTGCATTACTGTTTTGTTATTAGCAGTTTAAAAACATATTGATTTAAACTATGATTTTTTATATATTTATTTATGAATATAGTTTATGTCTCAATAAAACTATGATTTTTTATATATTTATTTATGAATATAGTTTATGTCTCAATAAAAACTCCTTTTTAATGCACCAGACAACATACCTGTTTTCAGTTTTATTTGTTATTGGATAACTATCAAGCTACGCAACTCAAAACAATAAAAGATAGATTGAATCTGTTAACAACAACATTGATAAAAAAGCATATTCGAATTTGGAATGGGGCGGCAATGTCTTGGTGATTTTACAGATGACAACAAATATGTTTCAATTGTCGTAACTACAAACCCGTCCTCTTTTTCCCGAATGTGACCTACCGAATTAGACTTATCACCGGTTTGTACTAACACGAGCAACACAACGGGTACCTTTCAGGAGGACCTGAGATCACCCCCAGTTTTGGTGGGGTTCGTGTTGCTCAGTCTTTAGTTTTCTATGTTGTGTATTGTGTACTGTTGTTTGTCTGTTTTTTCAGCCATGGCGTTGTCAGTTTATTTTCGACTTATGAGGGTGTGGATGGGGATTTGAAGAATAGGGAATAATGGGCAAAACATATAAAGAATAGAGAAAAATGGACAAAAAAATAAAGAATAGAGAATAATGAGGTGCTAAAATATAAAGAATAGAGAATGACGGGCAAAAAATATAAAGAATAGTGAAAAATGGCCTTAAAAATTAAAGAATACAGAAATGAAAGACCCCCCATCCAGACTCTCACTTATGAGTTTGAATGTCCCTTTGGTATCCTTCGCCTCTCTTTTTAAGTTATATTAATATGGCATTTTTTTCTGATGATCAATTCATGCTCCTGAATGCCACCAGTTGAACTTAAAAGCACACTTTCTTACCATTAAAGGACGTTTGGATAGAAAGCCTGTTGGGTATGAAAACTTAAATCATTAAGGGATTTTAATTTTCCTGACATGAACAGCTCTTGTATATAAAGTAGCTTGTGCATCTCAATATATCGGTAGTCATGTTATTCGCAAAGATTCTCTAAAACTATTTTTTCAAGATTACTTTTTTCAACATTTTAAGTTGAAACCAGACATTTAAGTGATTGAAGAGTGGTATATTTTAAAAATCTATACAACTGTTGAATGATCCAGTAGTGCTGTGATAGTGCTGTACATTACAGATCCTTATCCGCAATTTGTATATTTTCCCTTTCATCTTACTGCCATATATTTTTCTATATCATGGACATGAAGACCTAATACTCGAAAAATATTAGGCAATGACGTCACGTAACAGTGCAGCAACGTCACACGTTCATGTCCATAAGCACCAATTTATTGATAGAATGCACACGACTTCATACATACAACCAAATAACTATCACAACATTTTCTACGCGTAAAACTTATTTTACTTACTATTCATTTTATTTCATATTCTCAAACAACAAGCATATTAAGACAAAATTGCTAAAAAAAAGAATAATGGCATTTTATTTTTAGATACTGACTTTATCAGCAAGAATATCAAATGAGCCCCCAATAACAAAAATGCCATTATTCTATGTACAACAGCCCAGGGAGAACACAAAATTTACCAAATATCAGTCTAAGGGCAAATACTAGATCACCAAAACACTAAATTAAAAAAAAAATTATTTCGAGCTCACAAACTAATAACTTTGCTCCCTGATAATTAATATTATGACAAAGTCCATTATGGTTTGCTGTGTGAAAAAAATATAAACTAACAATAAGGGTTGAAAAACAGATTATATTAAAGAAGAATTCTACGATAGTTTTGTTCTGAAATAAGTTGTCTACCCTTTTTGTAGTTATAGCAAATTTAATTTTGCTGTGGGAAACACCAATAAAATGCTTCGCTGGGCGCAGCTTGATACGACCGCAGAGGTCGAACCCTGAACAGTTGGGGCAAGTATGGACACAACATTCAAGCTTGATACAGCTCTGAATTTGGATTGTGATTAAATATTTGACACAGCATAGGTTTCTGACACAGAAAGAATGTGGTCTAAGAACTTGATTTTTTTTAATTTACCTATTATGGTCCAATGTCCAAAATCAAAATACATGGTTAGATTCAGCATATCAAAGAACCCCATTTTTCAATTTTTGTTGAAATCAAACAAAGTTTAATTTTGGACCCCAATTTGGACCAACTTGAAAACTGGGCCAAAAATCTAAAATCTAAATACATGTTTAGATTCAGCATATCAAAGAACCCCAAGAATTCAATTTTTGTTAAAATCAAACTAAGTTTAATTTTGGACCCTTTGGACCTTAATGTAGACCAATTTAAAAAACAGGACCCAAAATTAAAAATCTAAATTCACGGTTAGATTTGGCATATCAAAGAACCCCAATAATTCAATTTTTGATGAAATCAAACGAAGTTTAATTTTGGACCCTTTTGACCTCAATATGAACCAATTTGATAGCGGGGTCCACAAATAAAAAATCTAAATACATGGTTAGATTCAGCATATCAAAGAACCCCATATATTCAATTTTTGTTGAAATCAAACAAAGTTAAATTTTGGACCCCAATTTGGACCAACTTGAAAACTGGGCCAAAAATCTAAAATCTAAATACATGTTTAGATTCAGCATATCAAAGAACCCCATATATTCAATTTTTGTTGAAATAAAAAAAAGTTTAATTTTAGACCCCAACTTGGACCAACTTGAAAACTGGGCCCATAATCAAAAATCTAAACACATGTTTAGATTCAGCATATCAAAGAACCCCAAGAATTCAATTTTTGTTAAAATCAAACTAAGTTTAATTTTGGACCCTTTGGACCTTAATGTAGACCAATTTAAAAAACAGGACCCAAAATTAAAAATCTAAATACACGGTTAGATTTGGCATATCAAAGAACCCCAATAATTCAATTTTTGATGAAATCAAACGAAGTTTAATTTTGGACCCTTTTAACCTCAATATGAACCAATTTGATAGCGGGGTCCACAAATAAAAAATCTAAATACATGGTTAGATTCATTATATCAAAGAACCCCATATATTCAATTTTTGTTGAAATCAAACAAAGTTGAAAACTGGGCCAAAAATCAAAAATCTAAATACATGTTTAGTTTCAGCATATCAAAGAACCCCATATATTAAATTTTTGTTAAAATCATACAAAATTAATTTTGGACCCTTTGGACCTTAATGTAGACCAATTTGAAAACTGGACCCAAAATTAAAAATCTAAATACACGGTAAGATTCGGCATAACAAATAAATAAATGTGGTCAAAGATTTTACAAATCTAATGCGCCATACTGTGCAATTAAAGATTACTTCTTGAAATTTTTCAATATTTGAAATTTGAAAAAAAAAAAATATTTGAAGAATAATTCTTTTTAATTTCTGAAATCTGAAATGAGAAAAAATTGACCCCCCACAATTTCTTTTTACCCCCCCCCCCCCCCTTTTTTCCCCCAAAAAATTCTTTCCCTCAAGATATGGTCATAATCTCAATTCAAATTTCCAATGGAGTTTGCAACCATAATTACCCATTTAAATTTACCATAGTGCTATTTTATAATAGAATTTAAAATATAGTGTCAAATCTTTCATATGGATTTTTTTGTAAAAAAAAAAGATGCAACATTTGCAGATATTTTTTCTGGTCTTCCTTTATAAATATGCATTTCTTTAAACATAATTTAAAAGCAGTGTAAGGGAAGTAACCAAAACGTTGTATTTGGATTACCTCCCTTACACTGTTTTAAATTATCTTAATTGTTCATTAATCATTACTTTATACATAATTTAAAAGCAGTGTAAGGGAGATAATTTCAATGATGTATTTGATTTATCTCCCTTACACTGCTTTAAATTATGTTTTGTACTAAAGTATTTGTCCATTAACCAGGACAACCTTGTTTTTCCCCCTTTTTTGCCCCTAATTCCTAAACAGTTTGAGCCATAACCCCCAAAAGCAAATCCTAACCATCCCTTTGTGGTATGGAAACTTGTAGTATAATTTCAGAGAGATCCATACACCGTTTCACAGTTATTGTCTGGAAACTAGAAAATGCTTATTTTTTGCCCCTTTTTGGCCCCTAATTCCTTAACTGTTGGTACCATAACCCCCAAAATCAATCCCCACCTTCCTTTTGTGGTATTGAACCTTATGGTAAAATTTCAAAGAGATCCATTCACTTAAACTAAAGTTAGAGTGCGAAAACCAATGTGTCTTCGGACGACGATGACGCCAACGTCATACCAATATACGACCGCAAACATTTTTTGCGGTCGTATAAAAATCATCTTGATGAAATCATAATAACAAGTAGATGTGCACAATACCATTAAATATGATTGTTGCTGTTCATCATATCTATATTTCGTTCATTGGTTTTTACATAAATCAGGCCATTAGTTTTCTTGTTTGAATTGTTTTACATTTGTCATTTCAGGGCCTCTTATAGCCGACTATGCTGTATGGGTTTTGCTTATTGCTGAAGACCGTACCGTGACCTATTGTTGTTAACTTCAGTTGTTAACTTCAATTTCATCTGGTCTCTGGTGGAGAGTTGTCTCATTGGCAATTATACCACATCTTCTTATTTTTATAAGTAGTGTGAATTTTTCATTGAAATAAAGTTTGTTTTAGGAAGAGAAGTGGATACAAAGTTCACACAAACAAATGACTGAATTTGTTAACGGAAACAAGACCAATGTGTTTGGACCCGTGTTGGTGCATGCAATTGATTGAGGTGACATGTAAACTGAAGCATAACTAATCATTACCAAAAGTTATTGAATCCAAGTTTGATGAAAATTTTCAAGTACAATGAGTTTTTTAAAATTTCAAACTATCAGCAAACAGAAAGTGACTGCACTGTAGATGTAAAAATTGTTTACACACTATAACTCAACATCTTCAGAACTACATGAAATGCGGCAACAATGATATAAAGGGGACAAACAAAATCAGTTGAAAAATCAAGAAAAAGATATATTCACAATCAAACATAATTTTATTATCTGCATTGCATTCCAGTTTATATTAACAATAAAGAGACACACTTTCTCATAATTCCAATAAACATACATTGCATTCAAGTTTATATCAACAATAAAGAGACATACTTTCTCATAATTCCAATAAACAAATATTAATCAAATTGCAAATTTTGCATAACAAAAAAATCCTTCATTCATCTTATTTATGCTAAACATGGCTCCTAACATAACATACAAAGTAGGAGAAAGAGGGATTGAATCTCTCTAAGCAAAGAATAACGTAGAAAAATCTCTGGTTATTTGAAGCACGTTTATTAGGGCTATTGAACAAAACAAATTTGGATACCCATTGAAATATTTTATATTATTTAATTGAAAATTTGACTGACTTTGAGAAAACAAATATGATTATCTTATTTGATTATGTGCATTGTAAACAAACTAATTATTTTAAATCTTCTCCCAATTACTTTAAATAATGTATAATTTTGTGTTACTTTAAGTCAAAGTTTAACATGCCAAAGTTGTAAAACTATTATAAAAATATGTGACATTACCATCCACTATTTAGAAAAAAAAATTAATATTATTTTTTGTCTCAAAAGTCCTATTTTTAAGAGTATTATCTCTCTGAAAGTATAAAATATGGTTAGCACTGCAATATATACATCATAAAGATCTAAAACCACAAACACATACAAATTTACAATCACTTATAAATCCATGTTCCTACATGTAGTTGTAAGTCTTATCTCAACTATAGTGAAAATACTATTCACTTTGCTGAGAACTGATTCTATAACATCACAAACCTGTGTTATGGATGACTTTTTTGTTTAATGCACAATTATAATTAGTAGCACTATAAAATGGTAAATATCCCATACTTTTTTATATGCATGGTCATGTTTATTAGCAAAATATAAAATGTTGCAAAATAAAGAATTTTTCACTTTTTCATCAATGTAATATATATACTGTGAAATCTAAGTTTCTATAATTCCAGAAAATAAAATGTAGTATCAATAAACTGTTGACACAGATTTGTCTAGCTTGTCGACAGAAAATTCAGAAAAAGACAATCTGATAGACAGCGATATTGCTAATTAATTAATTCAAATTCACTGCACCAAGACAAGGGGGAAGGGCCTCGAAATGGTCAACAAACTTAGATGTACTGATAGTAAAGCAACTTTATAGAAAATATCATTGATCTATTACAAGCAGTTCCTATCAAACTAACTTAAGCCGAATTGAAAATTGCTTATTAATTGAAAGTCGCTGGACCATGACCAAGGGGGGCAGGGCCTTCAAATAGTTGTCAAACTGACATGTTCTGAAGTAATGCAACTTTATAGAAAATATAATTGATCTATCACAAGCAGTTTTTATCAAAAACTGACTGAAGCAGAAAACTTAACTACTGTAAATTCAGATATTATTGCATGCATTTATTATTGCGATTTTGTCATTTTAGACTAAAATGCGATTTTAATTTTTGAGATATTGATAAATATCCTGTTTAATTCATATGAAAAATTTCAAAATGCGAGTTTAAATTATTGCGATCATTACCCTGTCGCATTTTTCGCAATAATAAAAACATCGCAATAATTTCTGAATTTACAGTATTGTTGATGACGCTGGAAAAGCGCCACTTACTTTTCGTCTTCTGTGACTTTCATCACGGGCCAGATAAAAATTCCAATTGTACACACACTGTGTAATTCAGTGAAAAGGCACTCTAGCCAGTGATGAGGGAATCACTATGAATCAGGAATATTCCTGGTGATAGAAGGTAGTAGTATTTAGAATAAGCCCCTAACATATTGTAAAGTCGAAATTTTCCGCATGGAGGTTATTTCGCAAGATAAAATCATTAAAATATTACATGGTGTAAATTAAAAAAAATAACAAAAAAATTGATCATTGCAAACAGGTTAAGCTTTAGATATTGCAAAATTAAATCTCTTTTCAGCACTTAAGATAGAATCTATTTCAATGTCAATCACTCTTGGCTATAAAATACCCTCACCAAGAGTGATTTTTCACAGATAAAAGTAGCATGCACTGTACTATATCTCACCACATCAATGTAATACATATTACACATAGTATTGAGGCATTGGCTTAGGTCCCTTAAGAAAAATTATCTTTGGTAATCTAAGGCGATCACACACCGACTTCTATAAATGGTGGGTCTAGAACATATTTTAACACTATGGTAAAAAAATTTCATGAATCATGAGGGACTGAAGAAAAAAGCCTTTATAGTCACCAGTGTAATTTGATTTAATTGCTCAGGTTGAATGGTCTGTATTTTTGCTAACAAATTAACACACATCTAGAAGTGATAAATCAGTTATTGAACACGAACACTTCAAGTTCTTCACAATTTTGTACAAACACATAATAAAATACTAAACATTTTAAAGAACCTGTATTGATCACCTCACAGCTATCCATCATGCTAACCGAGTCAGTTAAAAAAACAAAAACAGGACTTCTGCAGAACTGCCACACATATACTTTGGTACATTAGGTTAAGTAATGAAATGGAGGACATGTTAGTTTATCAGTGAAAAAAATAATAGGTACCAAAAAATACTTTAAAAGTTTACGGATGATGACAGATAACAGACTTCAAGTGAAGCTGATATTATACCTTCAGGTCATACAAGTTAAATATTACAAGAAAATTGGATGAATTTGTTTTTCTGTCAATCTTCTTCGACAAGTTGGACACTGACGATGCGTTCTCACTGATATCTGTATACATGGTTTACAAAATAAATGTCCGCACACTGTTGACATCAACTGTACTTTATTTTGTTGCAGCTGAAAAGGACAAGAAGATAAATTCTGATAATTTTTCTGAAATGATGTATACATATTAACAAGAGTGCACATGCTGAAAAATCTCACCTGCTTTACCGATGAAATTTTATGTTGAAAGCTAGTCTTTAAAATATAGATTTTTCTACAGGTATCACAAAACTGAAAGAATCCTGAAAATGGGGTCAAGATCAGATGAATCCTGAAGACAGACATGTACATCTTGCAATCATTCAATGCACCAAATAGTTGACCTATTGGTCATAGTATCTGAGAACCTAACCACCAAAACTTAATGTTGACCACCAAACCATGAATATGAGGTCAAACCTTGATCTCATTTTCATGGATCATTGGCGGTGGTCAAATGAATCTTACCAAATTGACATGTACACCTTAAGATCATTTAATACACCAAATATACTTGACCTAGCACACATTAAAATCCACAAAATATACTTATACTATGGAGAAATAAACTAAACATAAAAAAAAATTAACCCTTGATCACTCATCAATGAAATGAAGGCTGTCATGGTGAGGTAAACCCTGTCTGACAAATATGATGACCTTGCAATTATTCTACACACCATATATATATATAGTTATCCCTTTACTCATAAGTGAGAAAATCACATGATGAACAAAACTATTTTATTTTTATTATCTATTTTTTTTAAGTAGCCACTTAATAATGAAAATGAGATCAAGAACAATGGACATGTGCCAGACAAAACATTCTGAACATAAGACACCTGATTCAAGTAAAGAAGCACCCAAGTCATTTATCATCTGAAATATAAAGCTTTTAAATTATACATACATGTATACAATATTAGGTCAATGTCAGGAAAATATAAACTTTTTTGTATGAGGCTGAGAAACTGGGGACAGGAGAGGTTTTACTGAGCCCTTCCACAGTTTTGTGCCGAATACAAAAAAGTTTATATTTTTCTGACATTGACCTAATATTGTTTTTATACTGCAACTTAAATTAATACATTGATAGCTATTAAAATAGTAACACAAGTTTCAAACTTATTTTCCCCCCTCAATGAACCCCTGATTGTTGAAGAAGCGATCCATGATAAAATTGACATTGCACAAAATATAGCTTTGTTACTATATTTAGGAAATCAACACAACTAGTTGCAGTATAAAAACATTTATTGGCACCCCTATGTCTTGCGTTCTGCTACTTTTCAAAAGGTTACTGATGAAATAAGTATGGTAAACGGATAATTACATATTATATCTGTGTTAATTTTAAAGTCATCTCTTGACCTAATGTTAGGACCTTAGTTTATGGATTAAATAAGTCTTAATTCTTTAAAACTTTTTATACAAACTGCAGATGTGCAATATAGTGAAAAAATATATGTATGCAAAGCCACAGAACATTGAACCAGAGATTCCTAGTTATTTGGAACTGATTTGGTTGTCATACAGGTGGGAGGTATTGAAGGTGCATGTTCTGAGTCCAAAGATTGAAAGATATATATAAAAATAAATGTGGATAGTGTCCATATGTGGACACAGATGATGCCCCCGCTTGCATATCATATAGTTATAAAGGGACATAACTGAAGAACGGTTAAAGTGACACTACCCAAATTCAACTTGATCTGTGTTTTATCAGTGGAAGTCAAAATTAAACATTGCATTGTATAAAGCATTGATTGTAGTTGATTCAGCTATAATCATGGACAAAGGAAGTTAACTCCAACTTTAAAAATTACTTTATATTTAGAAGAAAATAAAAATTTTGCAATTTTTCCATTTCTAAAGGGGCATAACTCTAGAGGAACAGTTAAAGTGACGCCACCAAAATTCAACCTTGATCTGCGTTTTGTGGTATTAACCATTGTATATAAGTTTCATAACATTTGGTTGAGGCAAACTAAAGTTAGAGAACGGAAACGAAAAATTCAGCAATTTTTCCATTTGTAAAGGAGCATAACTCTAGAACCGTTAAAGTGACGCCACCAAAATTCAAACTTGATCTGTGTTTTGTGGTAATAGGCATTGTGTATAAGTTTCATAACATTTGGATGAGGCAAACTAAAGTTAGAGAACGGAAACGAAAAATTCAGCAATTTTTCCATTTGTAAAGGGGCATAACTCTAGAAAGGTAAAAGTGACGCCACCAAAATTCAAACTTGATCTGTGGTAATAAGTATTGTGTATAAGTTTCATAACATTTGGTTGAGGCAAAAGTTAGAGAACAGAAACCAATTTTGGGACGTACGTACGTACGTTCGTTTGTACGTACGTACGTATGTACGGACGTATGTTCGTTTGTACGTTCGTATGTACGTACGGACAAGGGTAAAACTTAATGCCCCCTCCGCTACGGCGGGTGCATAAAAAGAAGACTAGACTCAATATTGTACTCGATAAGATGAAAACAGCAAAAACTAGGAAAATTTCTATTCTTGTTATGAATCTTGCTTGATCTTGACCTACCTCTTTGTAATCGTCCATGCAAATGGGACAGGTGATTCTTCTTATACCAGGAGAGTTTACTGTTCCTCGATTTGGTGAACCTAGCCCTGAAGTACTTGGTCTTTCAGAACTGCAATAAATGAAGATGCAAATTGATAAAGTTGAGAAAAAAATTTTCCATAACAATTCCAATAAAATGTCTGAAGATAGGGCAATCAAAAAATTTAATGATGGATATCAAATCGTATTGAATTTGACCTACATACAAATAATTTTTGTCATATGTGACCAGCCATGAGATTTTCAGGCTAATGCAGGTACCAGGGTCAAAATGAGTTTTTTGCATTTTTATGAAGTACACATAGATTCAAAACACCCTGACAAGTTATTTTGTTAGATTCTTTAAGTTAACAGAATTATGGTAATTTTTGTTAGTTTCGATTTTATTAAAAATTTCATTTTTCTTTTTCAATTTTTTAACATGTATGTTCATCTATAATAGTTTTTTTTGTTTGTTTTTTTTTTTTGGGGGGGGGGGGGGGGGGGGAGGTGGCAAGTCTTTTTTAGTTAATCAAAATGTAACTGTAGCTTTAATAACTAAATAACTGAAGAATTTCAAATTTGTTGCCATAGCAACAATGTACCGGAATCTGCAATCAAAATAATAATGACTTAAACTTTTTCTTTCTTTCGTGAGGAAAACTACACCAACGCCAAGAAAGTGTATTATTTAATATGCTCTCTTATGTTCGTCTTTTATCTTATTGGTGAATACATTTTGTACATGTATCCTGACAAAGTGATTAAATCAAAGATCTGTCAATGCAGAGTAAGATAAAAAATCAAACAGCATAATCAATAAATTAGGGCATGTAGGTGAAAGGGTTGTAAGAAAACTTTCAACAACACATACATCTTGTTTATGTAGTTCTAAGGCAGTCATAGATAAAAACAAACAAACTAGCTATGAATTAGAATGGGATGAGACTTTATATAGACCTTTTCCCATAATGACATATAAAGCCATAAGCCTGGAAATTTCATGGCTGGTCACATATAGGGAACCTGGTGTTGATGGGAGATCTAGACATTTAATCAAGAGCCTGACATATTTTATCAACACTTGTCTATTGTTGAAGACCCTTTGTTAACTTTTATTAATATTTGCCTTAAAATTATTAGTAGATTCTGTAGTTTGTTCAACATGTCAACAATTGCATAAATTGAAAGGTGACAGCACCTTGTTACTGACAATACATGTAACTGGTTCTTTACCTGTAAGGAATAGCCCCATGCTCTCATCAGCAACACATAACAATGCTGTGGTCAATTCACTAAAGTTATCTCATTTTATTATAATTCTTATTCATTAAATAGAATAAAACTCAACAGATTTTAATATATCACCTACTGTGTGGTGTAAACAATGTAAAAACACAGAAGTTTTTTGCCAATAAAAATGTCAATATACTGTGAATTCATTATTATTCGTTGGTTACCAATTTTCATGTATAAAGATAAACCACAAATTAAAATGTTCAAGGAATTAAAATTTTCTATATGCTTGAATGAAAACTTTGGCAAAATCACAAAATCAAATATCTACGAAAACACACTTTTTCCTCAATACAAGAAAATTGATATCCATAAAAATAAATGAATCTACAGTAAATATCATTTCATTCAAATGTTGTCTATAAGAGAAATCATATATAAGTGAAGAAAAGACCAATCATTAGAAGTTAATTAATACAAACAAATTGTTTGTGTAATACAATCAATGGCAATCATTCTGAATCAGCCATCTGTGATGATATCAATATCAGTCACAGTTGCAACGGCAATATCAAACTCTGTTTTTCGTCAGTCGTAAAACATTTATTTCAGGTATGTAACAAGAATGAAATGTGTTGTTTTGCTAAGCATACCCCCACTCTTAATTTAAAGTATCAAGAAACATGCATGGAGCAGGTGTCCTACAGATCCAAAAGGCTGATGGGCTGCTGATCAATTTTTAAATCATTTTGTCCAGCAGTTATTGAGAAAAGTGTGACTAAAAAGTTCATGTTCATTCAACATACTGAAAAATTCAAAGTATAGGCAAACAAGAATGTGGATTCCAACAGATCCGAAATGTGCGCACACGTTACAACTCATTACTTTCAAGGTGCTAATCAAAAATAGAGGCATTCTGTAATATAGTACTGGACAAAAGTGTTACAGGAGTATTTGTTGGACAAACACACGGAAAGACATCAGACTGACAGACAAGGTGAATGCAATGTTATCCCATCTTTTAGAGTGTGGTATAAATAAGTGCATATAATATGGATTTTTTTCAATATCACACACCACATCAACCCTCAACCAAAATGATCCATCCAGCAGATCTAAGTGCTCTAAGGATTATGTTGGTGTCTCAGGTTGATATTGGTGTTATATTAAATAAGCCATACAATTTTCTCTATATATCTAACTTACATTTCTATATCTAAATCTAAACATTCTATCTCGTTTTCTATATCAGGTGATCTTAGGGGTCTCCTTCTTCCTCTTGGTGGAGTGACTGGAAAAAATGTAAATCAGAAAAACCTAGCAGTGTGCTTAATCAATTTTCACCCAAAGTAACTTTTCACTGAATACTTTTTTCAGGTGCTATTAGTGTAGCAGGAAATGCTGACCTTTCTGGATCACCTTTTCCATGTCATTTGTGTTGCTGAATGTTAAGTTTTCTGTGTATTAATTGGTAGGTCTGGCAGTCATCCAGAACCATTTAGAGATAATGTAAAATAAAAATAACTATCAATAAAATGTTTTGAAGTAAGAATTCTTTTGATTTTCTTAAAAAGAACTGTTTTTTATATAACTTCTGAGCTTCTATCAAACTAATATAGCTGATTTTAAGGACCATACACATTTTATTGCAATCCTTGAACTGTGGTTCTTTCAGTCATCAACATGTGTTATTAGAGTGCATCCATTTTACTAAAATCTTCTTCAATTCATATATGTGAAAGATTTGTTTTCAATAGTGAAATATTAAATGTGTCCATATATTCAATTATATTATGTGAGCTGCCTCTTATAGAAATTGACCTTATGTCTAATACTTCGATTGATTTTGGAACTTTCAAATACGAAATAAAAGATGAATGTTGGTCTGTTTTGTAGGGTTCTTATTACAACTCAATTTTCAAACAGCTACAGACTTTGCATAGAGATTTTTTTTAAAACCTGAAATAGGTTAACAGATGTATTGATATTCATTTGCATAAGGTATATTTCTATCCAATGCAGCTCATATATAATATCTTGTTGTGTGATCAAATATAACCTTACCAAATTTCTGAAAAATATATCGAGCTACATGTAAGTGTTTAACTCACCTATATCTCTGCCTGTTACAATCTGAAATATACAATTTAATAAATTAATGAATAATTAAAAATACCTACATTTTTTTTTTGCAGTCCTAAGAGCTTTAGTATAGACCACCATTAGCTCCCAAAGGCTGGAAATTTGTTTAATTATCTTAAAATATAAATATAAATATCTAGCATATTTATTTTAATGAGTGTAAAAATGAAGTAAAAACCTGTTTTTGAATATAAATAATTACATTACATGCACATGTATGTTTTATAAGAATCTGTAATTTTTAATTGGCAGACAACAATCATGAGGCATTCCAAAATTAGTTACCCAATAAAATTCAACATTCATGACAGCTCATGTTCTCATGACAACTTCACACCCATCAATAGGATAACAAATGAAAAGCTTGATGTAAATCATAATATCAAGGTCATAGCCTTGATATGTAATTCTAAGAATTGAATTCTTCTCTTTGTAATTTTCTAGGGTTGTAAAACAGTAAAAGCTTTGAAGGTGCACATATTTTTAGTATGAAGCACTTCCGTTTTTAATTTTTTTAAAGTTTAATCATAAATCAGGCAGTTGATTTTCTTTTGAATAGTTTTACATTTTGTTATTTTAAGGCCTTTTATAGTTTACTATCGGTTTTAGCTTTGTTTAAGGCCTTGCATTGCCCTTTAGTTGTTAACATCCCTACCTCTGCTGTCTTTGGTCTCTGGTGATTATTTGTCTCATTGGCAATTATACCATCAAATACAAAAACATATATATATATATGTCAGAACCACTTACAATAACAGGCGAGTCATTCACTGCTACTTGAGCTCGTGTCTGTGTAGGACTTGTCAAATCTATAAAATCATCATTGCCATGTTCACTGGTCAGATCTATACATTCAGAATGTGCTACAATATACAGAATTTATGATGTTTGTGTACAATAACATTTACTATGCTCAGAACTAAAACCAGATCAATAATTGCAAAAATAACCATTGAGTAACAGAGAAAATATGCTATTATTCTAAGTAAGAAGTTATAGGGAAATTATCAGGAGAGATATCTTAAATAGGCAATTTTTCTTTCTTTCAATCAATCATTTAAGTTATGCTTTGATCAGAATAATTGAAATTCTAAATTATCTCCACTTTAAATAGCAACGAGTAGTAAAATTAAGGAAAATAATTTCATTTTGTTTTATTAATTCAATATTATCTACAAGCTTTATCTTAATGTTGTAAACTGGTATAAACAAAATGAAGTATACTTTAAACTCTTTATAATAGAAAAAAAGGATATGGTGTATCAATTCATGACATAAAATCACTTTGCATGTGCATGATCAAAGGCACAGTGCATTTATTGCTGTTCTTCACCTGACTCCTTTGGATTCATTTATTTTCGTGGGTACCAACTTTCGTGGATTAAGGAAAACTTACATATTCGTGGATATTTGATTTCATGGTTTTGCCGAAGTTTGCATACAAGTCTATAGAAAAATTTGTCAATCGTTAGACATTTAATTTCGTGGTTCACCTGTACCACGAAATCCACGAAAATTGGTATCCAATGAATAATAATGAATCCACAGTATATGTGTAGTCAAGAACAATCAAGGTAGTCTCTTTAAACAGTCAGAGCTCAGACTTAAATAAGCATATTCCTGTTTTGACTTGTGTAAGTCAAAAAATGTGTTAATGTGATGAAATCAATAGTCTTTTTGCCAATTCTTGTAACTGACCCTGTAATTAGAGATCCATTTTTTAGTTTTCTCCCTTAGGAGGGACATAAAGTTTCATTGACAATGTAGAGCTAGCGGAGAGAGCAAATTTATCTGTGCGTAATGTGTGTAACCTTTAAGTTTTTCAAATTTTTTAATTACATTTAATATTTTGTTAAGCTAAAAACTTTTATAGCAGTAGTTATTTTTCACTAAAAATCTGATCTCTAATTGCAGGGTAACAATTTTTGTTAAAAGTATATATTAACAGAATCAAATCGGTAATTGACAAATGGACTATTCCTGATATGTTTAGGATGATTTCTGCTTTCATCTAGTTTATAATCATAGAGAGTTTTTTTTTCAATTTGCTGTAATAAATTTTTAAGGGTAACATCAGTGTTTTTTTTTTATGCACAACATATACTTCATTCAACAATTGCAGATTTATTATCAGTTTTTTTAAGGTTGATATTTTTATTTTTTACAGATGAAGATGTTCTTTTTGCATTCTCATCTGCGTGCTTTACATATATTTTTTGGTATGTGTCGCCTGTGAAATGACCCACTTGACAATTTTCAATTTGTATAGCTCAATAAATGTTATTTATTAGTTTATGCATGTTTTTAGATGTTCCATGATTCTTTTAAATTTTTTGTTCTTGATGTTGATACATTTTACTGATTAAGGAGTTTTTAGTGCACATTATTTTTTCAGTCTTTTTTGGTTGCTTGACTTAAAAATTGTGTTCATGGTATTTGAAACAACCCCCTTTTTGACAATTTTTTACTTGTATAGGTCAGTAAATGTTACCACAATTATGAATGGGGTTTGACTGCTCGTTTTGAGTCAAATTGATGCTAATGAAAAGAAAGATAACTCTTGTGTTAAACAAATTCAGACTTCTGAAAACTTAAACAAGTTTTGAATTTTTGTGTCTGGGCTCTGGCTGATCAAATTTAATCAAAACTGGTTCGACTCCAAACTAGCTAGGACCTATCTGGAGTTTAATATACAGTAAATTCAGAAATTATTGTGAGGTTTTTATAATTGCGAATAATGCGACTGGGTGAGAATCGCAATAATAACAACTTGCATTCTTATATCTGACAGATATATCTGTATGCAGCTTTTCCACAAATCGCAATAATTAATCTTGCATTTTTGTCCATTCTGCAAAATTCGCAATAATAAATGCATGCAATCATTTCTGAATTTACAGTATGTGCTGCTGACATTTGTTAATGGTCTCAAAACGGTATTGAATGTTCACTGAGATGTTTTTCGTGGTTAACTGTATAGATAAGTTAAGCATATTTACACATATACTCCACATGTTCTTTTATTCATGTATTTAAACTGAGATCATATCATTATTGGGTATATTTCAATGCAACAGCAACAAAAAGCTTGTTGATACTTGCTAACTACTGTAGTCCCTACTCCCTTCAAACATTTGTCAAATAAAAAAATTAAAATAAAAGCTCAATTGTATATTTCTTCACTTGACTTTCACGAAGTTTCAGTCATGTCTGTATTTTATTTAAGGGGGACAAATTATACCTTCAACATCAACTACTTCATGATTTCTTTCCCTTAAAGGATTACTTCTTCGTCTTGCTCTATGTGTTGGTACAACTAATGGTATCCTTTGACCTGATGAACTTCTAGATGTCAACCTTCTGTTTCTCCTTTGAACATGTCTCTGCATTCTAGGAAGCTGCAAATTTTAATAATATACATTACATATTATTAAGAAAAGATGCTTAAAGACACTTCAAGAATCAGATTCTAATATCATACAAACAGTACCACAAAACTGGAAATGTGCCATTTACAATTTGTCAATACCAAAATGACAAGATTTAACACTTTTTTTGATAAATTCTGTTGAATATTTAAATGAAATGAGTTAGCTGTTAAAACAACCAACATCTTGGTGAAAAGTTTTTGAAGAAATTCTCATAAACATGATAAATACTTTTGAGTTGGTGCTCAAAATTAGGGTCTATTTGGGTCTTTACAACATGTACAATATGCAGCTATATGCCATGTATGCTATGGCCCAGAAAAATCTTATGAAAAACATCATTATATGGCTACTATAACACTTTTTTCTGATTTAGTTCTTTTCAGGATATTTGTATAAAATTATAAAAGAGTATAAAACTTGCTAGTGCAGATAATCTGATGTCTGCTGAGATTTTTTTGGAATTTGATTTTTACAGATCCCTCAAATGACACATGAAGACATCAAGGCAAAAATTCAAATAACCTTCCAAAACGTCAAGATTTATTATTTGAAAAAATCAATTTCCTGCAAATTTTTATCTGAGGATCAGGAGCATCCAATTTCCTGCAAAATTACTGTCATGACTGTATTTACATCCAATTTTCTGATCCTTACAGTCATGACAGTAATTTTGCAGGAAATTGGATGCTCCTGATCCTCAGATAAAAATTTGCAGGATTTGATTTTTTAAAGAATGATGTTAAAACCAAATCACCTTGGTGAGTTCATCAGGCATGTCAGGTAGAACATGCCTCCAATCCTTTTTGTGATTCTGAGTCTGGAGGGAATTTCGTACTAGGCGGCCAAATAAGTAAATTCCATTCCGACTCAGAATATTACAAAACACCGGATACATTTTAGTAATTCAGTTACCGGTAATTCAGCATTTATTCAAGATTCAACTAGTACTCCTACCATCATGACCATTGGCATGTTTTCAGGGCTCTCAAAAGAGAAAGCAGGAATTGATGGATTGTGCTGGGATAATCATATTTTATTTCATGTTTGAACTGGTGCAAATCTTTTAATTCAATTTGAATTTTACAAAGAAATGTGTACACCTTAATGCTATTTGTCCTCCATTTATACTGGCACCAAAACATTTCAACACCTTGTTCCAAAGACAATTTGGCACCGTTTTGGAAGTTTCATACCAAGACAAATCAGCACCTTGTTGTTTATCTTTATATTTTCCTGGTACAACAATGTATCATTCAAAGTTAAGAAAAAAATTAAAAATTAAGAGCGCTTTAGCAATACTGTACAACAAAAATTTTGAAAGTGATATTAAAATCCTTACATAAAATATGCAATACAAAATTTGATTGTGTTTGAATAAACATAATCATTTAATCAAATCATAATTGATTGTACATTGTAGTTATGCTTTATTCAATATTTTATGTAAGTTCATAATGAGCATTAATAAGTTTTTATAATTTCTCAATGAAGATCAAAAGCATACAGCTTTGGTTATCCTTGATTCCCACAATTCTAAAGACATACATGATAAAATACCTGAAAACTATACTATATTCTATCGCTTTAACATTACAAGCCATCACTTACAAAATGTAAAGCGCTTGAAACTAAAGCCATATTGAGTAAAAGCCCAGAACATCATAAAATTGTCAACACTTTTGCTTCTACTGACCCTAGGAATAGTATACTGTCAATATATTATGTCCCAGACTAACCCAAATAATTAAACAAAATTTCCAAACAGAAGAAATTTAAATCTAAGAAAAGCTTAATCATTTTCAGGCCACTGTGGTCAAGTATAAGTTGTAAATAGTAATGTCTGAAAGCTTGACAGTGGAATATAAACTTAGAAGCTTTATGAGGTGATGATTTGTCTAGGTACCACTGTCTTTCATTGATGCCAATTATCCTGGTGCCATTTGCCTCGGTGCCGTAGTGACTAGAATTCACTGGACATCACAAAGGTCCCCTAAAATTTTGACATCACAATAGAAAATGCCTGATGCCACAAAGGAAAAGTGATTGTTGTATGACCTCAATAGTGCAAGTGGCACAGATTCCAATGTCAAGTGTCGCTGATCTCAAAATAGTGATAAGTTCTATTGCAACCAAATTTAAAAATAATTGTGGTCAGAGGCCATTAGTGATGATCTTTTTGATAATTTAAAACTGAGACTACTATAACACAGAGATTGGTCACTTCTTGTACTGACAAGTCAAATGTAAATAAAACTGTGCCTATGATCATGATGATCGTGTGACTCGGCACGTGACGCGAAAAGATTGGCAAGAAGGCATTGATCGGCCATTGTTGATTACTGAAGAGAAAATAATAACTAATTTTATAACCAATGTGGCTGATTGAAGAGTGCTACATGTTATGATGTACATTTCAGAAAATGTGGAAATAGGATTTGAAATGTTAATAAATGTTTGTTTTTAAACACTTTAAATAAAACTAGTGTATTTATAGGCTTTAAATTTACTCATCATTGCTCATCAAACCTGAAAATAACATTGAGTTAGTACTAGTAGTCTGTTAGACTTGGTCAATTTGTATTGCTAATGGGTTAAATTCAGATGAACAATTTGTTTTCCGGATACTATTACTGCATTCTTTAGTATTAATACTACATGTATGCAGTGATGTAACATTTGTAATTATATGAAACACCATTTTGTCTACATTTAGAGTTCCCCTGAAATAGACGTACATGTACACCGGTCAAGGTGCATATTACAGAACATGAGGTCTTACAGGTCAATTTGTATTGTTAATGGGAAAAATTAAGACTAATATTTGGTTTTTCCTGGATAATATCTATGCAGTCTATAATGATAATCTTGCGGTGATGTAAAATTTGTAACCATGTGAAATACCAATTTGTCGTTTAAAAGGGAATTTTGTTTTAATTCACGTTTCATTTGTGACTCATTTCTGGCTTGAAATTGAAAATTTGATATTTCTTTACCAACAAACTTTTTAATTGAATAAATTGAAACAGTGGTTCACAAAATAGATTTCCTCATTTGATTATTTCTTTAGAAAAGAATTTGATTAGGGAAAAACCCTCCCCTTTTAATTAATGGAATTTGCATTGACTGAAATAAAAGAGGAAAAAAGGGGGTCAAAGTCAAACGGAAGCTCAGAAAGAATTGGTTAACAAATAAAAATCATATTGGGAAAACTTTGGATTTAATTTTTGTCACATTTCTATAACTTTGAGATACCAAATTTTATACATTACAAATATTTCTTTTTGGGATAGGTAATAAACATTAAAAAATAAAACGAAATCAGCAATTACTGCATGATCAAACCTTTTTTTCATTTTTGTGAAAAGATCTGTTTAAATTGAAACAATCATTGATTAAATGTAAAAAAAAAACCAGAAAATTTTCAGATGATGACAATAATCAGCAAGTGTGTGTATCTTAATCATATTCACAGCAGTTCCACAAGTGCACCGACAATATTTGACAAGATTTTTTACAATAAACAGAGCCTTCGTATATCCTGGGCACCCAGCTGTGAAATCAAAATCCATCTTGCATGCTTTTGAAACTAACTGTTTTACAGGTATGAAATAAAGGAGGGTCTGGACGGGGTCCTTCATTTCTTTATTCTTTAATTTTTAGGCCATTTTTCTCTATTCTTTATCATGTTTATACTTTTAGTCCATTATTCTCTATTCTTTATATTTAAGTACCTCATTATTCTCTATTCTTTATTTTTTTGGTCTTATTTTCTGTATTCTTTATATTTTTTGCCAATTATTCTCTATTTTGTAAAACCCCATCCACATCCTGATAAGGTTTACTACAATAAACAGAGCCTTCATGTATCTTGGGCACCTAGCTGTGGAATCTAAATTCATCTCCCATGGTTTTGAAATTACCTGTCTTCACAGGTTAAATATTTGTATATTAGATACAATTAACGGACCAGTTTCACCCAATTGTAAAATTTCAATTGTCAGTGAAACATAATTATCCAAGATTAATGAGATTAATCTATACACATTCAGATTCATTCACATTTTCGAGAGTTGCATAACGGAAAAACTAATAATGATTTAAAAAAAAACATTTTGAAATGAATAGTGATAACTGCAATTGATAGATAAAAATTATTTTGCTTTGTTTTATTTCATTTTTTAAACATGTTTAAAAAGAGAATAATATCCGATACTGATTATGTGAAAGCGGGAACAGTGGTTATGTGTTGTCTGCTACGGTTAGATACGAAACTGAAGTATCTAGCTGTTCATACGAAACTTTTGTTAACTTTACCAGAAGTCACGGTTTTATTGCGAAATCGTGAGTGACCAATCTCTGTGACAGTCTGTTATAGTAATCTCAGTTTAAATTATTAATTAAAATTTGATTGTACATAACTGGTTATTGTTGAACTCACATCTAACATGTTCAACATGGTCAAATAGGTGCCACAATATTAACAAAATTAATTTATACACAATGGGAAAAAGAAAATATTTTTAAATTAAAGAAAATTATGACTGTACAGTTTTTAATTCTAAAAACGCACAATTATATGCGAAATTCGTTTCTTTCAACATTTCGTAATTCTGTAATAACAATAGTACAACAAAATGTATCTGTTCAGTGAGTACTTTTAAGGTATTTTGTATTCATTATTAGATATATTTTCGATAAGTTAAGTTGGAAAATAGTTAGAAAGATTTTTAGTTGGAAAATAGTTAGAGAATGGCAGAAAGTTTACGCGAACTGCAATCCTGTAAAGGCATTAACTACAAGTCGTTAAATGAATATGGACTGCCAGCGTTGAATATAACAGATCCTTTGAAGATATCTACACCAAGGAAAAAGTTAGAACTCACCACAGCAAGGATCTTAGACAATTTTGTATACCCTATTTCTTGTATATGTATAAATTATTTGTTAAATGAACTTGTACAATAATTTTCAGGCAAAAATAAAAGTATTATTTATCTTGTTTTCTATTCTGAGCCAGAGCAGGAACATATATATTGACATTAGATATACTGTTCCCAGGCCAGAGATAATTGTATTTTCAGTTTCTTTTGACACACACCATTTTTGTTTTTAAACTTCTAGAAAAAGTCTAGTCACACAATAAGAATCAAAAAGTGAATATTTTGTAAAATAATCGTGTAAAAGTAAGCAAAATGGTAATGTAATCGTCCAACGTCCAAACAGACTTACACTCATATTTCTGGGATTTCTGATTTTTACCGGAAGTTTTGCTCTCAAAATTGAAGGTAAATAAAGTGTTCATTTCCTGCAACTGACATTTAGCTCGATTTTTCATCTCGTAAAGTATTTTTTGCCCAAAATGTGGAAAATGAAATGAAACTTGTGGAGATAAGGTTCTTGGAATAAAGAATTGATAAAATGATACAAGTTTTTCATACCGAAGACCATTATATATTACAGGATGGCGATTTTACGCTGTGGTGTAGTAGAACGACAGGAGCTCTTGAACCAAAAAAAGGTGATTGTTAATGATTATCTGTATATGTATTGGGTAAAAACATCCAAACACATGATGATAGAATACGTCAGACATGCCCGATTTTTTTTTGCCACTAGACTTGCGTATAAAAAAGAAATTAAGCTTCTAAGAACATACCAAAGGGCAATAAAAAATCATAGGTCCTGAATAGACCAATTTTGAGTCCTTTTTTATGAATAAGAACATGTAACACTAGTTGACCCAAGATCAATCTGTATACATGACATCATTGACGCAGAACGAGAACGTTTTACATTTTAAGAGAGCGTACTGGTTCAACTTGACAGGATTAAACAGACTTCTTCTCTTCTATTGTGATGTAATAATTAAGGAATAACAGTACTGTAGTTGAAGAGATGCTGCCATCAATTGGCAATTTGATAGTCGCAATATCAGTTTTACAGGTGACACTTAACTGAATATTTGTGACCGTCAAATCCACATTTATTAATATTATGATCAATGTTATATTCTAATTCGTTACCTCAAATGAATATAAAGTATTTATAAAATAAAAACAAACACTTGTTTCATAGGAATAGCTTGCCAGCATGTGCAGCTTACTGTGATAATTTTATTAAAACAAAATTAAATTTGAGTCCCGATGTCATCATGATAACGGCAACACCGCTGCGTAGTACACGACAGCCTACAAAATAGAAAATAAAAATGAGAAATCATATATACATATATAGGTCTTAATGATCAACCAAACAATGTCATACTGGTAGTATAAATATCTACTATGCGTAAAAACATTTAAAAAATACAAGCATTCAATCGGGGGGAGAAGGGGGGGGGGGGGGGGGGGGTCTTTACCTAAACTAAACTGCACTGTACTGTACGGTATAAGAGCTTCAAATGACAATATATCTTAACTTACTTTAACAAGAAAACTATTTGCGCTTTAAAAATCCTGTGCTATTTACATATCAAATATCATACTCAATATATTTACGCAATGCAACAAATATTGACCAATCCGAAATACACATATGTATCATATATTTAAAAACACAAACCTGTTTATTTAATATAAACACCAATAGATGACCACTATGCGGACACACACTCACGTGTATGCTCAACTTTAATCAATACATTTATTCTTGAAATATCATCAGTTGTTTAAATTTCACTCCCCAAAAAAAAGGGGAAAAAAAAGTAAAATTTTATTTTGAATTTACAGTACATATGTAGTTATTTCTGGTAGCTATAGTTATTAATTAATGGTATCAATTTTATTGCACCAGATGCACATTTTGACAGTTAATAATTAACAATGAATAATATCTCTTCAATGATGCACATACATGTATGTGCAAAGCTTATTCTTTTAAAATACAAAACCTAATACAAATTATTAAAGATTATTACAAGTTGAGATGACCAATGATAATCTGTTTATCGCTATTTTACCTATGACGACGTTGTCAATTTCATGTCAATTTCATTAGCAACGGCACGTGCCCCCTTAGTTTCTAGTGATAATTTTCATATCACTCGACTCTGCTGAGAAAGGAAATTATCAGTCAGTAAGATCAAAGGAAATTTTCGTAAAATAGCGATAATATAAATTATAAAGAAACTAACATTTTTTTTAAACATGATCATTACAATTATAATAGTCTTGTTTTACGGGGGTTCCATAAACGACAAGTCTAGGGTTCTTTGACATCACTTTATTTTACAAGTAAACGTAGGGAAAATAACCCTGCAATAACAATAGCATATAATTATCACATTTATCAATATCACAGTCTTATTAAAGTCTTATACTAGAATCATACAAATATTATACTGGTGTAAATAACAATGTTACAAGATCGTATGAAATATTCTATTCCATATACAATAAACTATACTGAGTATCAAGAATGCAGCGACATTCATAATATGCGACAAACTTGCAATTATATTTCTAAATACAAATACATGTATCTGATAAGTCGTATCAAATAGCATATCATTATAATCAACCAAGCGTATTATAAACAAGTTGAATGTATCATACTTCATAAACGAGTGTCATTCATAAAACCTTTACCATACAAAGGTTATTAACTGTTCACTATAGTATTCTAGCTATTAACTTCGTATGCACTACTGTAATGTTTAATATCTATTATTGAACTCAAGTTAACTGACATATAGGTACAATATAGTATGACCCTTACCAATCTGTGGAACTAGGTTATATATCTAACATCTACAGTACAACCAGTATGTTACAGGAACATCATAATCTATGTGTCCTGAAAATAATACACAATAATAAATAATAGGATCTAGGAAAATAATGATCCCTTATACAAAATACAAAATATTAAAGACTGATATAATAAAATCTAGCTATTACACAAAATAACCATATATGGCAATATTAAAGCAAATGTCAATGTGACGTCATAGATCCATAACTGAAAGGTCAAGGTCACTTTCAAAAATCATTCGTAAATCTCCCTGTCTACAACCAAACTACAGATTCAAATCATATATTCTCAGATTAATACATAAACTATCTTACTCCTATCATATCTAAGTCTATGGGCATACTTACCAATAAACGGGCAGAATTGTATAGCATGCACTGCATACGCCTTTCATACACCACAAAGAACATAAAATCTACTTACCAGATATAAAGAATGTAATTTCCAATACTACAGTGATTCCAAAGTATGGAAATTCAGTGAGTAATAACGAGCACCAAATAGAATGTCTCTATATAAGTTTCATCACTATATACGGTTTAAATAAGAAGTAAATATTAAATATGTATGTCTCCAATTTTCAAGAATTAACCACCATTACTTCTTTTCCAAAATCTGAGGTGTGTCCAGAATGACCAATAAGAACTGACCATAAAGGTGAACAAGGTGTGACAATTAATTTACTAATGAGTTGGACAGGTAGATACAATTACAACTTTACTCAATGAAGTATGACTGATTAGAACTTTCATACAATTTAAAGTGTGAAGAGATAATAAACTATAAATCAAAAGATCAAATAATCAAAATGAATGAATAAAGTCTAATATCTGGCATGTAATGAAATGTAAAATACTAATAAATGAAATATTTAAAAATATACTCTGTCACACAATAGTTCAAAAAAATTTGCAAAATCCATTGGTAAAGACAATCTCATTTGTCTAATATTATAAATAAACATGCAAGTTTTTTTGCTCAGTGTTGAAGGCCTCATTGTGACTTTGAGATGAAGAACAACAATAAAAGCACTGTTCCTTTGCTTTTTGTGTTTCTTTGCTGTGCACATAATTGATTTTGTGTCATGGATAGATACTCCCATATCCTTGTCAACGTATATTTGTTCCGCCTAACAGAAGTTCCACTGGAAACTTTGTTATAAACAATGTCATAATATCTATTCCTGTTGGAACAAATATTCTATACCATTTATTCCGTTAGGAACATATACTGTAATATTCATTCCTGTGGAAATAATATTCCAGAACATTTTTTCCTTTTGGAACTTATATTATAAAGGAACTTCTATTCCGTGACAACCTTTCTTTTCTATTATGAATAGGATTTAAAAATGAATTGGTTTGTGATGCAAGCACTTATTTATTTATCTCGTACAGTATATGACATATGTTTTACATTATTTGTTTTATCCAAATGAAAATGTTGAACCAACATTTGAGAAGACAGTATTCATTTGATTTAAAAGTTTTTAAGATTGAAAAACAATTACTCAAATTGAAATGGCAGAGATATCTATCTTGAATAAATAACCATAAAAGCCTTTTCTAGTTAATTTACTTTTTAAGGTGTTCTTTTGTACTTTAACAGTGTTCATAACAATGTATGGATACAATTTCTATTGATATAAAAATTAGGAGATGTAGTATGATTGCCAATAAGACAACTACAATATGTAACCACTGGAGTCCAAATGACGTGGATGTAAGCAACAGTAGGTCAGTCTGTACAGTCTTCAACTATGTACAAAACCCAAGCTGTATAGTCAGCTATAAAAGGTCCCAACATGACAAAATGTGAAACAATTCAAACAAGAAAAAACCAATGCTCTGATTTTACCTAAAATTTAATGTATAGACGACATTCACATTCATGCACTTTTCCGTAAATTTACTACATATTTATGTCACAATGCTTATGTTATTACATCACAGTGAGACTGATTGTTTGATTACTTCAACCTGGTGTCAACCAGTGTAACTCATTCATAAAAAACAACTCCAGATTGATGTATACTATCCACTAAAAAGTTGCTTAAAAAAATTTAATTAAAAAAATGTTGTAAAGATTATCTGCCTTGATTGATTATCTATCTTTCAAGCTAGACTATGCTAATAGTTGATAATGTTTGGAATGACCAGGACATGCAGGATGTCGATTATCAAAAATTTATTAGATAAAGCTTAAAGGAAGGTCATAAGAGTACACTTTGTATTAAAGGTAAGATGGTTTTTGGTTTAAGAGTTTGACTACTTTGAAGGTATGATAGACTCAATATATACTGGTATGTCATATAAAAACAAAGCAGATGTGATATGATTGTCAGTGAGACAATTATCCACCAGAGAGCAAATGACTTGGATGTATAATATTCAAATAATTGCACTTCTTGTATAATTTACCTTTGCAACCCTGGCCAGGCTGCTAATTTTGTGGCTCCTTTTCAACAGTTAAGTCAGAGGTCTCTACCCAGATCTGTCTTGATCTGAGGAAACCATAAGTGCTTCCATACATAACGCAATATGAGTAATGCGTTCTCTCCATTTGGTGCATCCTCTTTTGTTACATAAAGCACAATTTTTGTCTCATTTCTCTAACCATCTAACTTTTGATCATGATATTTACTGGAGATAGTTCTTAGTATGGTAATCCCCCTATAAGTATTGACTATAAAGGGTTTTTTGTTTGTTAAATGAACAGCATTAAAAGAAATATAGAAATATGCATAAACAGTTGACACTCAAACATTTGGTTTTATACATAAATTATATATACATGTAAATAATGTAAAACAATAAGCTGTCACAAATATTAATAAGAAGAACAAATATTTACATCAATTATGTAATCTTATAGCCAGAGTTTTATCATCAACTAAAATATGTATGAGACATCACTTATTTAACCAGATCAATGATTTATTGTAAAAAACACTCATCATGATTAGCCTCAAATGATGTAGCATCAAGCTCTACTGTCATATTACTGCAATGAATATTTGTATGTCTTTAGTTATTCTACTTAACAGAAATTATTGTGTGAATTTATTATTGCGATTAATTTGAAGCATGGACAAAAATGTGAGATCAATTATTGGGATTTCAGGAAAATAATTTTAATTTAAACCTCTGACTGGGTTTCATATTGGTACATGTATATATAATATATGTCTTTGATATATACCATTATGAAAACAGTGAGAAAAACCCATACTGTAAAATTGGCTATAAAAGGCCTCAACATAAAAATATTAAACAATTCATTTGAGAAAACTAACTGCCTGATTATAACAAAACAATTTACAAAAAACCAACATGACAGACATAAACCAATGACAACAACTGAACTACAGGCTGCTGACTTAGGAAAGGCAGATATAGAATGTGGTGGGGTTAAACATCTTTGAATGTGCCAACCGTCCTCTAACCTGGGACAGTGGCCATGGTGTAACATTAGAACATAAGAACAATAATTTTAACAATACTGTATTGGTTTCTACATGTATATATACATGTATATTTGTCCATCTGTTTGTCCCTTAAAATGTTGGTTGCATCTGAATATATTTTTCCTCCGGAACTATAAATCAGTGCTTCCTGAAATTTGGTATCATTGATACTATCAAGCTAATCTTTTGAGCATGCTTTACCTTGTGATTCATTTTCATTATATTCTTACACAAAATGGCCATGTAAGAAAAATTTGTTTGCATTTCTTAGGAACCAAATATCAAGGTTTTCTGAAATTTTTGAGTCAAGCTTCATGTGTTCATGCTATACTGTGTGATATGTTTTCACATTCATTACCCATCAACTACATGTACCTGTTAACCAAATACTTACAGAGGGCCTGGGTGACATTACTAAACTTTAGCTCTGTAGCTGAACTTGTTTAAAAAAAAGTGATCATAACCATCTTAAAAGACAAATGGGAGGTTAATATATTGTGCTTACTAATAGAATGATAAATCATTAATATATTTTTACATAACAATTGTTAACAACAGGGTCATTTCACTATAATACTATAGTTATAATGAAACATTGATGGTAGAATATAGTGTTTGTATAATGATCTTTTCTTATATTCCATATAAGAAATTCCATATTTGTAAAGATCATTGCTTGTATTCCATCGATATAAGAAATTCCAGATGTGCAATGGTGCTACTAGTTAGTTCTCATTTGTTAATGGACTTCTATCACATTTGATTTAACCTACAATCTTATTTTAATCTATGTATATAAATCAGAAAAAAAAAGCATTTCCAAAGAATCAATGTTTAAGATAGTATTTTGTCATTATGGTCTGGCTTTTAAACAATTTAATAATAGCTTTTCTGTCTTAATTATGATGTACCAAAGAGCAGTCAGACTAATACACTGGTTCATCACTGACAGTTGGGGCCATTAGTGTTTAAATATATATATTTATTATAATAAGAAGTGAACCAGTTTCCAAGAAAGTATTTATTATCTAACCTGATCAAATAATATTGATTCCTCAATCATCAGTCATTAAAGATTATCGTAATTTTCAAAAAAGTATTTATTCCATGTTTTTGATTTTGAAAAAAAAACTTTCTTTATACTTGTTAAATGACAATTTCAGTTTAAACGAAAACTCTCTCTACATGCTCTAGTTTTTCTGTAAATTATGTATTTATAAGAATTTATCTATGGAATAATAGGACTATGACATTAACAGAATTATAAAGAATGTAATTAAAAACTAATGTGTAATTTTGTTTTAATTTTTTTATACTTCTTTTATTATTTTAATATGTAGCTCTTATCCAGCAGATGAATTTTGAAAAATATAACAGTTTTGACACATTATGTGAACCCTATTGATCTAACAGTTTGCATATAAATCAAAAACTGTTTTTTACCCTGACAATGCCTGAAGTTCCTCACTTTATTTGTACGGGAAATTACTGCAAGTCAAGTTATTAACTTAAATATGTGATTAAGATAGGCTCTATTAAGCTGCATCATACTATAAATTCAAAATTTAAAGTCAGTGTTGTGAAAAAAATAAGTTGCAATATGTAGGTAATAATTGAAAATATAATAGGTTATCTAACATATCTGTAAGAAATCAATGTAGTTAAATCTAAATTAGCTCAAAGCATACTGAACCTTCTAGCAGTGTCATACCTTCATGAGCTTTTCATGTGGATGCATCTGTCATAGATATAAGAAGATGTGGTATGAGTGCCAATGAGACAACTCTCCATCCAAGTCAAAATTTATAAAAGTAAACCATTATAGGTCAAAGTACGGTCTTCAACACGGAGCCTTGGCTCACACCGAACAGGCATGTTTCCTGTTTTGATCTGTATGACGTTGACCTTTCACATCAAGTTCAGTTTTTACAACAACAACAAAATTACATTCCACTTTCCAATGTCAGAACTATTATGATTTACTTTTAATGCAGGATGTAGTGAAGGAACTTGCTGGACAAACATGAGGACATAACATTGTGTCTTGCAGACGTATCATCTTACACATGTCATTTGAGACAGCAATCCAACAATAGTCTTTTCCATCATGTATGATATTTGTTTGATATTTTATTCTTATAGGTATAGACTTATGTTCAGCATGGAATCCTGTTTGTATTGGAATGGTCTATGGGGTTATTGGAAAGGTCAAAGTTCACCCAGGTAAGATTGATAACTTAATTTACCCTTCATGGAAATACAGTGCTAAAGGGATAAAGGATTTATGTAGATCTGTACTATGGCAAACTTACAAACTACTGGGTAGGATCTTCTGCTGAAATCACATGATCACTACAGAATATACATTTATGATAAAAAGGTTATCTAGAAGGGAGTTTGTTGACGTTTAAACTCAGCCGACTTACTCACAAACTGAATAATTCATGCAGGAAAAAGAGAAGCGAAAGATACCAAAGAAACTTTCAAAATTCATTTTTAGATTGTGAGTGAAAGGTCAACCTTACACTCATCAATAAACTCTGTAAAGATAACCTATATAGTTTCAATAAAATGCACAGCAAATTATGTAAAAATAAAAAAGTTCATCAACACTTGCAGAACTACTTGGTCTGTATTTGTATTTATACTCATGGCATGAAGAAGGTTTATACATATGTAAGCTGAATGTTGCAATGACCCTCACCAATGAAATAAGACTTAGCATACAACTTTGTAATTTTTAAAGCTGTGAACTATCGAAAATAAAGGATCAAATGACCTAGGATTCATTGATAAAAGATGATGAAGTGATTTGTAAAAGTTCGTGCTGAAATAGATTGTTAACAGATAAGACATTTTGATGTGCCTGTCCCAAGCGAGTAGCTTTGTAATTAGTTGTTCTGTGTTATACTGTAATGCTTTTCTTTATTTTGGAAAACTAGGTGTAATTGACAGATATTTGATAATTTCTATTAAATGTATTCACAATTAGTTAGAGTTACAGTACTACTTGTGACTTACTCTGAAAAATTATGGCCATAAAATGTATGATAATTTATAGCTTGACATATTGTGTAGACACCTGTCTTGTTGAAGATTGTATGTTGCTCTAAGGGTGTCTTTTGGTATTTTTCTTTTGTTGGTTTGCTGTCTCATTGGTGTATGTGTCACATGTCCTTTTATTCATATGATATTTCAGAGTAAATAACCACATAACACATTCAGATCTGATATATACAAAATATAGATAAAGTAGTGAATCATTTCATTATTTTTTTTTTTTATTAAGTTTTAAGTTTAAAATTACTTAAATGTGAAGCAGACACAATATCCTATGCAATTTCACTTATTGAAAGTTGTTTTTTAAGTCAGATTATTTATTCTTTATAAAATCTCCCAAAAGCCCAAGATTGCGACCTTTTGGTTAACCAGGTTTGGAAAATATACGACAATTATTTGCAGATTTATAAGTGCAATAATATCAAATCAATAATGACATACACTATAATACTGGATGATTATGCAATTCTCTAAAGATTATAAGAATGGACTTTACTAATGTGTCTGGCTCCTTTTAACCATTTTCATATATCATGACCTATAGGTCCAAATTTATATCATTTATAAGCCAGATTTATGTCCCTTTGACATGCCACAAATTAGACACTATGTCATTTAGTCACCAACAGTGAACAGAAACCATCCATAATCTCAGAATTATTTCTCCTTAAATATTTGTCAAATAAGCTGGTGTCATTTAATTCTGGTTTTGACAAATAGTTTGTGAATTTGTTTTGACTTTTATAAAGCGTTATAAGACATTCCTATAACATCTTTCATGTATTTTGAATATTCAGAATTCAGAGATTGATATTTTGATAAATAAATGAAGCAATGTTGAAAAATCAAATGGCTTTTAATAAGTGAACTAATTTGTCTGAAATTTTCACAAATTTCACTTTTAAAACCAAGGCTTCAAATGCTATTATATAAGTAGAGGAATTTCTGATATTATATAAAATATTATAAATTATACAAATTTTACCTTCTGTTATTTTCAAAAAAGGGAGAGAAGAAATCATTTCTTTAATTTCATGTAGATTCATATTTCTACAGATAGAATTTCACTGAAAAGAAATCCAGAAAATTAAGATTGATTTACAGGAATTCGAAAATGCTGAATATTTTTCATTAAGATGAAAACTTAGTCAAAATCATGCAATTGAAAGAAAAATGTTTCTCACTGTATTTTTTGTTTCCTTCAATAGCATATTGATTTAAACATTTTGAATTTCAACTTTTTATTGGTAGTTTTATTGGTAGTGGAACTAGAAACTGAGTTTTCACTGAACAAGTGTCTTTGGTACTAGAGGCTGAGTTTTCACTGAACAAGTGTCGTTGATACTAGAGACTGAGTTTTCACTGAACAAGTGTCTTTGATACTAGAGACTGAGTTTTCACTAAACAAGTGTCTTTAGGTTACAGTCTCTCGTCGATGTATATGTTTAACCCAACAACTTCTTTTGTTCATAACTTCTTTATTTGAAATCAAAAGTGACATTTTTCATTTTGATTAGTCTTATTATGCTAATGCACTTGGATAATAGTAACAAGGGACAATATTTGATGTTCCTGAAAAAGGAGTAGGCTCGGTAAGACCCCTTTTTTGCCCCAAAATATTGTATTTTTACAAATTTGTTAAGAATGTAAACTTTTAGCTATTTATTGGAAAGTAGAATACTTTTGTTACATAAATATGGGCAGGTTTTTGACAATACAATGCAACATGCATTAGGTACTAGCATCATTAATTCATGCAAAATTACTGAAATCTTCACAATTTTAGCATTTGAGCTAACATTTAGACTGTTTTTGTCTAAAATGGAAGTGGCACACTTGTGTTCAGTCTTAATATTAAAATATATGTTGTATTTGATGATAATACATAATGTATATAAAGGCTGAGACTGAACATGTATGCAGCCACTTAAATTTTAAACAAAAACCATCTGAAAAGTGACATTTTATGGCATATTTGATAGATTTTTCATATTAAAGCTTGAATCGAGTATCTTTAATGACCATATCAGTTCAAATCTTTTACATAAACTAATTGAAACGACTGAAGTAGACACTTAAGTGTTTAAATAATGTCAAAAATCTTTCATCAGATGTACTTCAAATTTTAGACCAAAATTAGCCCTTACCAGACCTTCTGCTTTAAGTATGTAATATGGACAAATGAGAATAAATGCATGTACAGGGAAACCTTTTTTTAGAGACCACTTAAGGGAGAGCAAAAAATGGTCTCATAAGAGGAACCTAAAGTTAATGGTCTTATAACACAGGTTTTTGCTTAATACATGGGGACTCGTAAGCAAGCTTAAATATTTCTAAGTGACATTTTCAGTCACAAGGATTTCTCTCTAGATTAAGTATGCTATAATTGAGTTATATTTCCAGAATCAGAATGGAGTTTGTTATTAATTAAACAGCGAGCTCATGTTGGAAGAATAGACAGACATGATATTTATAAGATCCACAAGATTGCTGTGATACCACTTTCTGGTAATGAACCAGGGGAATTGGACTTAGAGGTACAGATATATGAATCTCATTAAGATTACTGTTCTTATATAGCACTGGGAATAGTATGGTTGATTAAAAATTGTCAAGCCATTAGCTGTAGGTTTAAGTTATTATCAAAAAGAGGATAAGTTTTTGGAAATGGTTGACAAGTGCTAGATATGCTTTACAGTTCCTTTTGTACTTATCATATAGTATTAAAGAGCAGCCTCATTATTTAATGTAAAAACACTGTTATTACAGACACTACAGAAGCTTAGTTGAATGACTTCTGTACATGTTCATGTAGCAGATAAAAATAGTTCATTCCAAATACATAGTCTAATATTTATTTTCTTTCATACACGTAACTTATGTATAATTATTCCATGTTTTCAAATAAAACCATGGTAAAGTAAAGTAATTATAATACTCACTGTATCAGAGCTTTTGTCAGGACAAATAAGATTACTTCAAAAAAACTACACCAAGAAGTTGTCAGAGTTCCAAGTATGATTAACTTAACAATATCCTTACGGTTTTCTTCTTTAAATTCATCATAAATAAAGTTAGTTTGGTTAAACCTGAGTAACAATTTTCCCTTTGTAGAACTTTCACATAAAGATTCTGAATTCTTTTTAAACTTTATAAACCATGAGAACTTCTACAAGAGATCCTCTGCAAAGATGACCTATTTAGGTCTGTTATTCTGGAAATAGAAATGGCAGCAGTGATTCCACATAGATTCCCATTGGATCTTAAAGAAGATCAAGTTTCATCCTTTTTCTTAAAGTATAGTTATTCGTTAACATATGACCACCTCACAAGGAAAATCTAAAAATCTGAAAATTCTCTTCAGGGCAAATTTATTCTTTTTATGGAGGCTAGATAGATTTGGTTTGAGAGCCATTCATGCCGTTGCACATAGATGAATCATGTGAAGAATGCTAGTATATTGTTTTTTTTTCAATTTTTATTTTGTACATATAGTTGTGTAGAATGCATCATTTTGGGATAAAGAAAGCATCATTGGCTGGACATGATGGTAGCACAGGGAAACAGATACAGAAAAAACTCAAGTCAATCAAAATTGCTGCTTCAGAAAATATTAAACCAAAGAACGTAAGATTTATGTCAAACTAAAAGCTAATAACGGAACAAAAACCTTTTTGAAAAGGGTTCTATCTGTAAGTGTCTACACTGAAGGTTCATTGTACTCTTCTCCTTGAAATAAGCTTTGAAAACTGTTCAAACTCTGATATCACAAGTTCATTTGAAAGAAAACTATAAATGTATTTGATAAAGCAATGTATGTGAAACATAAGATTGATTTATTGATTGATTTATTTATTGATTGATTGTATTTTAATTTGCAATCAATCTGCAGCATATAGAAACTTTATTGTTGTGTTATACAGGTCTAGGAAAAATTGTCAGGTAAACACTTATTCTCAAAAGAGAAGAAATTTAATTATGAGAAGGTGTTCTCCTACATTGTATTTTACAGAAGAATTTCATGTACACTCAAAGCTGTATTGATATGCAAACTTTCATAAGATTGGATACTTTTTTACACCAAAATCATTTTTTTTTGGGGTGATGTTATGTTCTACAGGCTAGAATTTCTCAATAAATCAGACAATATTTTTTTACCTATTGAGAAGGTGTATTCATACCCTTTCAAAGTGCATACTTTTATGATTTAATTATTTGTCTTTTACAGAAAGAATCCAAAGATAAGGACAAGTTTATCAAAAGAATAATGGAGGTATGCTTGTATCATTAGAGAAAATTAATCCTATTTTCTATTTTTACCATTGGCCCTGTTCTTGATCATTTCTCTCTATAAAACTTATTGCAAATTAAATGCTCAATTTGCTCCCTGTTAAAAATAAAAGGTTATTCAACCCGATGTGAAATCAGACATATGGTCCCTAAAATACTTAAATCAGATAAACAACCACCAGTATCTGAAATTTATTTTTCAATGAACAGACATGCAGTTGAAAGTTAGCATTAGATTAATGAAATTAACATTTTCCAACAAATGCATCTTCCTAACACTTCACAGCAACCTTATGTAATTTGAAATAGTACCTTTGTTTGGAGCCAAGCCAGTAAAATTGTACAGAATAGTAAGTCCATCAAGTGTAATATAAATTTGGATAAAAGATAAATTCAATGCAAACTGTACACAGCCTTACAATGACTGATTATATATTTAGTTATATTATGCATGGGGACAAATGTTCATTCTTCCTATAAATATTGTTTACTAAATAAAAGATTATGATAGAATAATTTCATCTAACATTTGGATTTTTATGATAAACACATTTTTATATAAAGATTGTTTTTTAAGTTAACTTTCATACAAATTTTGACTTTCTATTTGTAATTACTCACCGACTAGTAACATCATGATGTGTAAATGTCACTTAAGCATGATTTTTTTTGTATTGTTTTCATCCTGATGACTGTGCCCCTAGGCAACCAAACTTGAAAATCTAATTGAATTATTGTAGCAATCCCTTAAGTATTGATGTTAAAAGAGTTTTTATGTGTCTTTATCATAACAAATTAACCCTGCATACCCAAGGTATCTACTTTAGGGATTCTATTATATTGAATATTTACTAGGGGTTGGTTCACTCTTGTCTATAAATTATGAAAAAGTTTAGGTCTTAATTAAAAGTTTCCATTCATTTAAATCAAACTACTTTCAAGATTTCTAAGGAAAATTATATTTTAGTAGTCCCAAAAGACCAATATTTGACTCAAAATGGTCACTATTAATGGACAGCTTTGTAAATGATATTTACAAAATGAAAAACTTACATAAGCAGTGGCATTTCAGAAAAAGGGGGTGTAGAGGGCTTATGGCACCTCTTTGATATATTTTTTTCGCCAGTATATTTCCCATTTTCTCAAATGACCCTCCCCCACCTTTCAAAAATCCTGGATCCGCTCCTGATGTGTAATTTTCAAAAGTGCCTCATTTTCAACACAAAATTGAGAATGGAAACGGGGAATGTGTCAAAGAGACAACAACTTTACCAAAGAGCAGAAAACAGCTCAAGGCCACCAATGAGTCTTCAACACAGCAAGGAAATAAATGTAAAAGTAATTTTGAAACGGTTTGTTTAAGTAATGCTCCTTACTGATGAGCCTTGTTTTGTTTTTCAGGAATTAGTGAAGATGTTCAATGAATCAGACTCATTCTACTTCAGTGAAACGTTTGATTTGACAAACAGTATACATAAACAATACTCATCAAGTTATAGTCAAAAGAAATTCCTGTGGGAAAGGGTTGACAAAAGGTTCTTTTGGAATTATCATATGACAAAAGAAATTAGAGAAATGTATTTAGAAAACGAGGTAATAGTCTAATAATCAGTTATTTGAATTCAAAGGATTAATGTAAAAAAGACAGCAACCTAACACAATGAAACACACAAAACACACAGTACTCTGTGGTAGAGTATACAGTTGTCAAGCTTCAAGGCATCCTAGTCCTGACAGAATTAAACATAAACAACTAAAGACCTGTAATTAGTCACATAAAGAAAGAGAGAGAAGATACAAAGGGAACACATTTCTAATGGACAAAAACATTAAGAGAAAGTAATGAGCAATTTGAAACAGAAACATTTACATATGCATTATTTAGATTCTAAAACCACTATTTCAATAAAGACAAATCAATGTTTTTCATGTTCATTAAATGCTAAAATTGGAATGCTCAATTCTTGCACCTCTTGAAGTTGGTAGGGGTTAAAGCTGCTGTTGAAACACAATATTTCCCCTTTTAAATGAATCTTTCAAGTTAAGTGAATGTATCTGAATTTTTAATGTTCTATTTAAAATGTAGGCATATGCTTGAAAGGCACACAACATAAAATATACATTGACACAGTCATTTAAGGTTTTTTTTTTTTTATCAAAATGAAGTTCTTAGAGCTACTAATCTTGATGTAAATTAATTGTCTTTCCTATAGGACCCAGAGTTATGGTCCCATTGGATATTGCCTGTAATTCAGGGGTATGTCCAAATAGAACATTGCATTATGGACTTTAAGGGAGACAAAGGTTTGAGTGATTCTACCTATACACCAGAGTTTGGTAACACTAAATATACAGCACCATTAGAGTATGATATTGGTATTATTTCAAGGAGGAATAGGAATAGAGCAGGTTAGTATACCAGATAAATATGAACAAATCAGCCCTAATATGGTTGAATCAGCATGTGCAATGATAATAGCATGTTCCAGCTGACAAAGTGGTTCTTGTGGCCATTTTGAGCATGAGGTTAGAATTTTTGTTCCAAGCTGAAGACAGCGATGTGACTTTCAGACAAGATCAGCAATAAAAGGACTGTGTCTTTGCTTTTAGTGCTTTGTCTAGTGCATGTAATGATTTTGTGTCTCTATTATCTTTTCTTTTCCTTTTTCATGATATTAAGACAGCTTTTCAGCCCATGGGATAATTCAAAAAGCTGTATTGAATTGGTCTGTCAAAGGATGAATCGTTACAATTTGAACCATAAATTTTCCACAGCCTTTTGCTCTGACATTTTAATGTCATTTCTGTCCTCCAACAAACTGCAAAACACAGACATTAAGAAAAAGAATGGTTAAATATCTGATTTATTCTTCTTAGGTACTTTTTTATCTGCTAGATAAAATAAATTCAATTAGCATATATTAAGTACTTGGACAGGAAATCAGAAATCTCTTCAACTGACAAAAAATGCATTGCGAGAAAAGATAAGTTCATATCTGTGTAATGGTAAGTTTCTTACTTTTTCTTGCAGACCTAGAACCATTTAACTTGGGTGTTATGAACTGGCTGCTTCTGTATCAGCCCTTGTATAGATTCTAGATCAGCTGTTTTTGCTTTGGAGTCTTTGGATCTTGGGGACAACTTGTAATTTATAGAAAACATCCAGCTAATAACACTTTAATAAAATATGTCATATTTATTGAATGAATTATCATTGTGTTTATGTAAAGTAAATTATGCCAATTATTCAGCAATCAGTATCCTATGCATTTCCCTTTGTGCTAGCTAATTCATATCCTTCCATGATATTTTTTATTGTAAAATAGTTAAGCCCGTTATCCAAATTTTTTGACATTAGAAAAAAATTCAGGATCATTAAACACATAAAAATGAGATATGGGGTATATGTCAAAGAGGCAGCAAGTCAAATACACAAAAAACATATAGGCATTCAGATGTGAACAAATGGGCTTCAACAGTGGGCATCTATGCAAGTTTTGGCTAAATTCACAGAGAATGACTGCCAAATACCTACCTAAAAAATGCTAGACAGCTAATTCTGAAATCATGTTAAAAATAGTAAACATGTTAAAACATTTCTATAATATATATGATTGCCATTTTATTAGATTTCAGTTAACATTAACTTTGGCAACACATTAATCATGCCCATGATCAGGGGCATATCCAGGGTTCAAGGAAAGGGCAATGTAATATGTTTGGTTCATATCATTTCCGTTCAAAGAAAAACTCGCTGATTTCTGACGTCATTAATATATTTAATTCGCAAATTGGATACCTGCATCCTTGAACTTACAAAGTCAATATTTATGCTTTATGTTTTCCAAGCACCCTTGTGTACATTATGAAACCATTCCTACAGAAAAATATTAATTCTATCATTTATCACATTTATCAAAGCTGCGATATGGAAATTATCCCAATTAAGATATTCATCTCTTTGCTCATTTATATACTGACATATATTTTATGCCAACAAACGCACTATAATGTCTTCTGAAATCAAATACTTTGACAAAAAGATAATGATTAGAATCAAGTGTATTGTCCATAATGGTAAAAAAAAAGAGGGAGATTAACCAGGCAAATTTTTTGAATGATTTTCCAAAACAGATTTTTTTTCAATCAAAAGGCAGGGGAGAATGCTCTATCCATCACAATGTAAATATCCAACTGCTATTTTTTTTTTTTTATTGTGTTGCAGACAGAATAATGTTTGACGGTTATAAGAATGATGATTAAAAACAAATTTATTTTGTAATTCAGTTATACAGTGGTGTATAAATTTCTTTATTATATCTACGCTCCAAAGGAGAGGGTATACTGATTCACCTCTTTCACCATCGGTTTATGTATTTGTACATCTGTCTTTCTGTCAACTGTCTGTCTGTAATACATGTATGTCAGATTTTTCTAAATAACTACAAGTCATAGGTTCTGGATTTATAACGTTATTCTAAGCTTCATATTGTAATGCCATACCATGTGACATGGTTGATTTCTTGTTTGTCCAAACCTATATCTGTAAAAGTCATGTACAAAATGTTCTTCACATTGCTTTATGTGCAGGGGTATAATTAGTGACCAACAGCTTACATTACATCTTGCTATTCCTTTCACATTTACTTCTGTTGTTGATTTTAACAAATTGTCAACAGGTTAAACCACTACGATTTGACTTATGCCTACCTGTTACCACTCATAGGTTTACCATCAAACTTACAATTGCTTATGAAAAGGTCAAAAACTTTTAAAGATTTGATGTACGACCAACATGAGATCTAAGATAGTTGTACGATTTTTTGTGAAACGATAGCCTGATCTTCAAATTTTCTTAGCCAAAGTGGCCAATTTCAAATAAATAAAGAATTTGCTTATTTATTTTTCAAGTACATTAAAATTTATGAGTGTTATTATTTATGCCATGTTACTATGTCTCACTGTATAGACGTAATGTACAGTTAGGAACTTTTTGTTTTAAAATTACTTAAATGTACTTGTGCACATCCAAATGTGACAGAATAGTCAACCTGATGCATTGTATATAAGCACAAATGCAATATTAATTATTCAAAAAAGCTAAAGCTGACTTTTCTTGACAGCGATTTTTGATATCAAATTTACAAAACTGTATGCTCCCTTCTGAAAAAAAAGTATTAAGATTAATAGTTAAATTTAATTTTTCATGGTAAATGTATTGGTTTATAGAAAATTGAATATGATTTAAAGCAGTTCAATAATAACATTCAAAAGATACTAAGTTGTTTATGGTCTTGTCTTTTGATCTTTGTTGGATAGTTGTCTTGTTGGCAATTTTACCACATTTCCTGATTTTTTTATAATAAAATATTTTTTTCTGCTTTATTTTGAAGAGGAATAATCTCTATCATAATGTATCATTATAGGTACAAGATCAAAGAAACGAGGTTTAGAAGAAACTGGAGCTTGTGCTAATTATGTAGAAACAGAACAGGTCAGTTTGTATAATTTGTATTACTCCCCTTCTTACACAGAAGACACATTTATCAGGAAAAATTGCTCATGATTCAGTTTAAAAGAATGGATGATGGGATAGATTTTCAATACAGAATATAATAATAAGGTATCATTTGTGATTAGGAATAAAATCCCTAAATCATAGCCCAATTGCTTTCTATGTTAAATTCTGCATTTTCAATAATTCATAGCTTTTTTGTCTTAACTAGAAATAAAGTGTCAGTCATTTCATGTCAAAACTATACCTTATCCTGACTTGTGCTCAAAATTTCAAAATACCTTTAATTGCAAATTAGAGTGCACTGGTTCCCAGAAGTTTGGTAGTACAAAACAGGTGCTTCTGATCTAAGCAACAGGGCAAATATGCCCTCCTATTCAAATTTCATATTTTTCTTTATTAATCAAAAGAATTTGATACCAAAATTGCCCAAATATTTTACTTATATATTGACAAAGTAACAGCTGTGCGTAGGAACTATTTTGTTTAAAATATGCACTACTTTCTTGTATGTTCTCTCTGACCGGGCCAAATAAGTTTATTCTATACCATTACAATAAAATTTGTTTAATAAATAGTTTCTAGTGTTATTCATAATACTACTTGATTTATTCCAATGATTCTGTTAACAATGTAAACAAGCAAACCCTTTTTCAAGTTTTATGCAAAGTTTTCCTCATACTCAACTATGGTTTTATCCAAATTTAATACTTGATAAATTTGTACAGTTCTATGCTTGTTTTATCTGAAGAAATCTTCACAGACCGGAAACAAGGAATTAATAAAAACTGGAATAATTTTGAATTCGAGAAAATTGATACGAAATGTATGATGAAAACTAACAGAATTTAGGAGTTTGTTAATTTGTTAATGCATTTTTCCTAGAAATAGTTATGGAAAAAAGATATAACATCTTATTAATTACCTGTACATCATTTTTTGTATTATTTTCAAAATATCATATTTTCTAATGTAATAACTGCACTTTATCCTATTTAAATTTCAATGATTATTGTTAACCTTGTCAATTTGTTTTAGCATATCATGGTGTTTTTTGTCAATCCTTTTGAATAATTTGGTGTTTATTGCAGAACTTTGCTAGTCTCTTAAATTTGTTCACTACTTTTAAACTTCATAGTTAGTTTAGTTTCCTGTCTGTTATGATTCCATCACAACTGGTTAGTTGTGCAGACAAACCACCCATCTAATGATTAAATTATCAAACTTATATCTGATAAACATTTTTTTTAGACATAACATATCATTATGATGCAGACATAAATGTATTGTTAAAGACCTTATAAATGTTGACTTTTAGATGTGTTTTGTTGTGTTTTTATGCTTCTACAATAGTAAAGACATAATGTTTCCAGTCTGTGCATCCTTTAGTCTGTCTTTCTTTAATTCAGTTTGTCTTTCCATACAGTAATATGATGTTGAATTTTTAAGATATATGCCAAATTTGGGTTAGAATCAGATTTCATATTTAATTGAACATGGTCGTTGTTGTTGGTTCATGTCTGTCATATTTGTTTTTCGTAAATTGTTTTGTTATAAATTAGGCCATTAGTTTTCTCAATTGAATTGTTTCATACTTTTCATGTCGGGCCTTTTATAGCCCACTATACGGTATGGGTTTTCTCATTGTTTAAGGCCGTACAGTTGCCTATAATTGCTTACATCCACTTCATTTGAACTTTGATGAATAGTTGTCTCATTAGCAATCATACCACATCTCCTTATTTTTATATGGTAATGTGATAGTGCGAGCTATGTCTCATGTTGTATGGATACATATTTTTGTTTTTTTTGTGTGCTATTCAGTTACCGTGTACATCCAAATCTCTTTTTGTTGGCCTGCAACAAAAGTCGTTGAATTTACACAAGTGACCCTCCGTTCTGATGGCAATAAGTTCAGTCTGTGTTTAAAGTTTTTTTTTAGATATTAGTAACTTTGTCAAATCTTCATGGATTCCTATGTAATAGATTTGACTGAAGCTTTTTCATGATCAAAAAGATATTATGCCGATCAAATGAGAATTTTTGTTTGTTTTTATTATTTTTTATTTTAAAGATAGATGTACTTTTTTCTTGCAGTTAACATACAGTCTGGGGTTAAAATTCTTTAAGACATCTATAACTTTGTCAAGCCATCAAAAACTTATATTTAACTTTGACAGTAGCTTTTTTATGATGAAGAAATAACACCAGAAGCTAAATTTTGAAAATATTTTTTTTTCCCATTTGATTATTTTACTTTAAATTAATTGCAGTTAACATTTAGATTTTGGTGTTGAATTTTTAGACATCAATAACTTAGTTAAACCTTGTGGAATGTTACAAAAGTTGGATAGAAGCTACTTCATGATTGAAAAAATAGCATCTGAAGACAATTTTTGAATTTGTTTTTCATATTTTACTAATAAATGGACTTTATGTTCTTGGCAGTAAACATTACACTTGTATACTGACAGCAGCAATTGCATGTTTCAACTTTTTTCCCCATATGATTGAGTTCTTTATGTTTTGGCAGTATTGGCATATTGCTATAAACCTTTGATAGTTTTTACCTTCATTATATAGAGAGAGTTCCCAAGGTTTTATCAGTGTTACTTTTAAGATTTAACTATGACAGGTAATATTACCTGTTTTGATATGATACAAGTTTATATGGCTTCCATATTGTAATGATTTTTAAAATTTAGAAAAACTTTAAGAATAATGTTATTATTAGGATAAGGGTATATATATATAACTCTATGAAATAGTTTGAAGGAGGAAATGGATGATTGTACAGTATCTTTTAATGGAGTCTTTTCTATTTTTTCTGTACATAATTTTTGTGATATAGTTCATCTAACATACTTTTCCCATTTTTTCCAATGATAGTAATAAATATTCTTATATCAAATAATTTTTGCTTTTTCAAGAAGGAATCATGTAGTACATACTTATTTCAAAATGGTATGGAAAGCTTAAAAACAGGAGTAAATTTTCCTTGGAGTTCAGAATTTTTGTTATTTTACTTTTTTCAAGATGGAACAGCAATGCCGCTATCATGTCTACAAAAACAAACAAAACACTGTAAAGATTTTGGCAAATTGCATAACTACCTAAACCTGAGTCTTACAAGATGCTTTTGAAAGTAAAGCGTATTGTGCTCTGCGTGAGACATTAATCCTGATTGTTTGAATGGTTCATAAAATGTAATTCCATGTGACACAAGACAAATACAAATGATCAATAAATAAATCCTGCTTTATGAAATATTCATGTTTTTTGTCGCAGATGGCGGTTATGATTAAAATATTAGCAAAAATTGACGTAGTAATTAGTAATTGCATAGTTGCCCTGTATCTTCCTTGTCAAATTACGATGGATGAAAACAGAAAAAAAAATGGGACTGTCTGTACTATTGTTAGATATATTCTTGATGTTTGATTTAAACTGTCATGTTTGTTTCAAGACAAATTTATTAAGAAGTGTTGAAGGAGTAGGTTTGATAAGGCCCTAAAATGGCCCCTATATCTAGCTACATTTTCAAATAAGGATTTATTGACTAATATTACAATGAAGCATAACTTATACAATAACTAGATAGTAAATATGTGCTTTTGTTAAAAATTTATGCACTTTCGTTCTACTGATGACGTCTCAAATAGCACTCATTTTGATTATCCACAAAATTCAAAGAAAACGGGTAAATTTCCATTGATTCTTTTTACAAGAAACATAGAGCACATGTGTCGGTAAAAAAGATCTTTTAACATAATGTTTGTTATAACATTTTACATATTTGACTTGAATATTTAGTTTGTCGACGCCTGCGCTCTTTGTTTCAGAGGCCTTAAACTGGTTGAAATCTAGACGATTTCCTCAAATTTCCCCAAAATCTCTATTTTAGGCCTATTTGGGATGTAAAAATGAACCCTTTTAAATAAACTTCGCCAGAAACAGGTCTACCTTACTATCTCACATGTATTTTCATCAATTTAAAACATTTTTTATCTTGAAACATAGATCTTAATAATCACGGCCATATATGGCCCTTACTGAACTTACTCCTGTCAAAAAGTGCCCATCGAAAAGAAATTTTAATACAAAAAGTTGCTTAAGTATAGAAATAGGTCTACCTAGTACCTAGATAATGACCATCTAGTACTTGGACACATGTTCAGCTGGTATTTTTCTGGTTGTATCAATTTCTTATAAAATTTTATAGAGATTTATTATTGGTTTGGAGAGTTTGTACAATCATGTCTGTACAATAATGAATTAGTTTACAGTATTTTTTTTATTGTCCTTATTGTTAATATTCTTGGGTCAAAACGGTTTAGGCTATGCAAAATGTCCTTTAGTTGACTTTGCAATAAAACATTTTCGATTTTGTTTTCTTCCAATTAACCAAATTTCTAGGCTGTACCAATTGATTTATTGGTTGCCTGCAAGAATGTCAATAAAGGTGATACAAATGTATATTAGTTCAGGTAGAAGCATGGAAACAGTGTAAATAGTTTGTTTGAAGGAAGGTAGAAGAGCTTGATGATTCATATATTTTTGTTAAAGTATTTTATGGTCTTTTGTTTCTGTTTGGCATTTGTCTGATGTATGTAACCTCATTTTCATAGTTCAATGACTGAATAAAGTTACTGTGCAGTTTTCATTGTTCTTTGGTTATAGGTTATAACTGAACTATGATTAAGGTGGCTGGGGTGTCTTCCTCCATCTTGGATTTTGAATAGCAGATAACAATCGGTTTAGATCTTTAATGAAATGTGCAAATTTCGAGAGTAGTATGTAATTCATGTGTAAGACTTTTCATGTTAATATAGAAAGTTATGTGTTTTATCATATTTTACAGCTATATTTTACAAAAAACAGAATATTTTTGTTTGATTCAATTTTTTTCAACTGTGCCACTTAAGGGGAGATAACTCAGATAAAGTAACTTCTATAAAAGAATGTGTTATGAATTTAAC